TTTTTTTTTTTTTTTTGTTTACTTTAAGCAGCTTGCATGCTATCTCAAACGTCATACTAATCTGAACTTTTTTTATTCTGTTGTAGAATGTAAAAAGTATTGAGGCTAAGATTTGGTGTACTGAATGTTTAAACACTATTAAACATACCTAACTGATAAAATATAAATCCTGTCATGGTCCTAAAATAGGTCAGTTTCTGAAGAAACTGCCTATGTTGAATACTAATTTCAACCTTGAAATACTTCTCACAATCTCTATGTTTATAGGAGTAARTTTTCTTGAGGGAAGAGAAGTTCAGAAATAAAAGGCAGTAATACTAATGTGCAGTTGGCATTGTAATAGCACATTACAAGAATATAGAGGCTGCTATAGACCATGAACAATACTGTTGCTTTTCCAGATGGCTTTTAAAGAGCAAATGCATTTGTATTGCTGTTTGGGATTTTATTTAGAGCTTTTTCTCTTTGGGTGGCTTTTTTTTTAAAAAAAGATAAACCTAGAAATAGAAGGTTGGTGTATCCTGTGATTTGACAGCTACAATATGTTTTGTTATGATTTCAGTTGCTTTGAGTAAAGTGTTTCTTGTTTTGATTTTCGTATCTCAAGATGAAAACCATTACTTGACTCTTTAAAGAGCCTGTTGTGTTTAAACGTTTATTTTAATGTGATGWAGTTAGAACAGCTATGGTCACTTAAGAAGAAAATAGTAGCAAGGCTTTTTGAAGTGTCTGTGACTGTAAACAATGAGGAATCAGCTGATGGCTGCTTAGTTCCACTTCTAGCTGATTCATTTGTTGTCAAGACAATTTCCTGTCTGGTGGGGGAGGGAGAGAGAGAACAGGAAGTGAAGTAGGAAAAACAGATGTTTAACAAAACATCAGAGGGAACTTGACAGAAGTTTACATTTGGTTCTATTAACTTGGTCAAAACTTAGCACCTCTTAATTAGACCAGCAGTTCACTTTCTCTTTTCTCAAAGACTTGAAGGAATTTAGGATATTGCATACAGCTTTGATAGTTTGTGCAGACTAAAGGTATGGAACTGCTGTGTAGGAATATGAATGGTCATTTGAAACAAATTTTCTCATGTTTCTGACTTCTGAAGTTACGAAGTTTGTCTGTAGTATTAAAGTGTCTTGCATGTCAGTGAGTTAAGAGGTTTGAGTGTTARCAGTGTACTATTTAGAGAATTCAACTTGGGAAAAAGGGGATGTTTTCCTTCTGTTGTTCTGAAAGGGCTCTGAAAGCATTCTCTAATGTTCATGTCTTAACTGGTTCCATAAAACTTGGTGCAGTAAAAATACTTAGTTTAGATTGAACTTTACCTGAACCAATATTAATTGTTTTCTTTATCAAGTTGTTCTCCTATATATAAATCAAATATAATTTAAAATAGGTAACAGTTTTGAATGTCTTTCATGTGTGTGTTAGTAAGACAGCATTATTTATGAGGATAAGTTGAGCTTGTGTGTATTCTGTTGTGCACACACTTTCTCCTCCCTCCCTGTCCAGCTTTCGTGCATATGGTTTTGATTCTGGGTGGGTGTTAGTGTTGTCACCAGCTGGGAAACTAGTGAGAGGTTACAGGTAAGGAGGGATGCTTTATGCTCTGTAGGTATTCCCAACTGCAGTAAAGTCAGAGCTAATGAAAGCAATAAATGTCTTAATCTGGAAAAGTCCAAACAAGGTGCTGCTGCAGGTATCTCTTTAAAAATAGAAAATTAGGTTTTGAGTTTGCTGACTTGTGACTCACACTGTGTGACTAGATGTTTTAAAAATGTGTGCATACAAGAAGAATGGGTACCTAAAAATGTAGATGACACAGAGTATTTAACTAAGTAGGGTGTGTGTTTTGTGGTTTGTTTTTGGTTTGGGTGGGATTGTTGGTTTTTTTTTTTGCATATAGTTAATATGACCTGGACAAAATAACCAGGATACAGAACTGCTCTTGAAATGTCTGGTCAGTGAAGGGAGATGCGTATGTATTTTTAAAATTCTACTCATGTTTAATTTCCTGATTCCTGCAAAATGCTTCAAGTGCTTACTGTAAAAATGGTAAATATGAAATAGCTGATCTCAATTTTTAAAGCTTTGATGCAGTGTGTTGATTTGGGGGGRAGGGTGTGGCAGCACACAGGACAGTTTGCCATTTCTATTTGTGTCAACACAACTGAGTGGTATACAGTATGTGATTAGTCATGTTTACTTTTCCAGCGTGTAAGATACAGCTGTTTTAGAAAATCTGTTGGAAAACTTTCTAATTGAATCAAGCATGATGCTTTCTTTTGAGTAACAGTTAGAAAACACCAACATCAAGCCAGCCTGAGGTTTTGCTTACTTTGGGGCTACTCAAGCATATTATGGCATCTGTCTTGGGTATTTAGTTGAACCTAGGAAAAAATCCTGGAGATTATTCCTCTACAGTCATCTAGAAATTACCTTCAAATTGTTCTCTTTACTTATTCTAGAGGTGTACAGCCTACAGTTGGCAATACAATCTAAAAAGTGAGTTAAATATTATCATTTGAGCAAAGTGCTCCACCTGCCTGCATGGTGTCTCTCTTGCTACCAGCATTAAGGGCAAGTCCCTATTGGAGTTAATTACTCCCTATGTGGCACGACTTGGTATGGYTGAAACCTCATTTAATTCTTTGCTGAGTTCTGTGGACCAGAGTATTTTCTCCCCTTTAAGTATTTAAGTTTTGGATTGTTTTTAAGTGCTTTCATCAGTATTTTACAAAACWATCAAAGTAAAAGAATACAGGATAAAGAAACCTGAGGTCTTAGTTCTGCAGGTAGTAAGTAGATAGTACTGTGTTGAGTTTGTTTTGAAACATCAGCTGGTAATTTCACCATGTATTTTAGTTACCTATTTAATTTCAAGAACAGTTGCTTCAACAATGTTTATTTATTTTGAAYTAGTACATGAATAAAATGTTGCAGAGCTTGTTAAGATACACAGGTTGAAAGTAACACCAAAATCTAAACCTAAGCTTAGGTTATTTTGCACTTTGCTCGTTAAACATCTGAAGATTCACTGCTGGTTACAGTTACTGATCAGAATGGCCCAATTTCTTGCCTGTGGTTCTATGTTTGTCGTGTTCCTTTCACAGTTTTGTTTGCTAAGGTTTTCACCTTTGGTTACTGGTGAATTATGTAATTCACCRTAGTAGTGCTGGTGAATTATGGTTCATGCCAGGCTTCCTAGAATTTAGGATTCAGAAAGGGGCTTTCCTTCCAACAATTAGGAGTACAGTACTAAGCATTCGTATTAGTAATTGAAGGCTGTAGTTTGGGAAAAGAGAAATGCTAATAGTGCCTACACTAAAACAAACAAACAAAACCCCGTAAATCTGTTAACTTAGTTTTGCCCCAGGGTAATCAGAGTTCAATTTACGCTTAAATAATAGCTTGTAGAAACAACAAAGTAATGYACTTTATCCTCATCCTTTCTRTYGAGGTGAAAGACAGGATGAGATAATAATAACTGAACAAAACCAGCCAGACTGCAGTGCTGAGACTTGTATTGGACTCTTCCAAGGGTCCTTCAGGGTGAGGAATCTTGGCTTTAAGCTAATGGTGGTGTCTGAATTTTAAATTGCTCAACAGTAAGGAGTGTAATGATGCTGAACTTCCTCTGTAAACACTGAGATAACAAATCCCAGGCACCTGTGTTACTTTGGCATGGTATCGATTGTGATCATTTTGATTTCCCTTCTTTGTAAGGCAGCTAAAGAGTATGAAGAAAGAAAAAGCTACTTAAACAGTGGAGTTTGTGCTTTTACTTTACAGTTGCCAATATTATAAACAATTCTCAGTCCTTCTAGAGGAAATTGTTTGGGGTGTAAAAGAGGTGCTGTACCCAAAATGGTCTTGGATGTCATAGGAGGTGAGGTTGGAAGAAATTAGAAGTACTGTTAGGAGGGGATAAAGTTGAGAAGTTTATTTGTCAGCCAAGAAAGTCTCTAATTGCACAAAAATGAGAAGTAGGAGACAGTGAGTGTCCCAACATTAAGAAATTACCCACAATGTGATGTTACTGGAATGTGACTTGTGCCTTAAGGAAGTTCATGCCATTKTTTGAGTGTGCTGTGGGGCAAATTCTGGAGCAGTTATCAAAACAGCTTAGTAAATCAATTTAATTTCCCCATCAAGACTTTAGTCCCTGCCCTTTGCTATTGATAAGTTAATATTTCAAACTGCTTATCTTTTCTTCTAATTCTCCATTATAGGAACAGTAAATTGCTGCATGAACTGTATAATGCKTTGTTGTTCTGGAGGATTTTATATTCCTGACATGCCTAAGTCACTCGTGGCACTGACAAGTTTTTGGTTTGTTTTTTTTTGAGCTATACTTTCTAACCCAGAACTGAAATTACACCTCTTYGGCAACAGCATTCAGAATGGTAGTGTTCCTGTAATGCTTTCATGGAATTGTGAGGACTGATGTTATAAAACCCATGTTATAGGGCTTTTCTGCTCTTTTTACTTKCTCCTCTAGCAAAATGAAATTAATATGCCAAGTCCTCAAAGTAGGGAGGGAGAAAAGGTWGGTTATCCCATTTAATGGAAATGTGATCTAAATTTAATAAATATTATATGCAGTGAATGGGGAAGAAAGGTATGGAGGAACTATAGTTTTTMTTACAAACTGTAAATATCAGGCTATTTTTAATCTGGTGGCAATCATCAGTGTGAGGTGACCAAGAGCAGTGAAATASAGTGTGTGACTGCTACCTGAACGTCTCCATATATCCTAGTGGGCATGTGCACAGCTGGTGGAGGAAGCTCTTCTCCCTCCTGCTGCTGGTATATAAGCAAACAGCGGGATGTCTGCTGGCCTGCTGCATGGAGCCAGCCACTGGGGTTGTAAATAATTGGGATATCTTTCATTTGGTTTTTCACATGTCAGAGCATCGAAAAAAGTTGTCTCTCCTGGAAGAACTGTACAGTAATGGTCTAATAATTCCAAATTCATATAAACTAAAGAGCTGGATTGGGAATGCAATACAGGTTTGCCTGTCAGATACAGGACAGCAGAGCACTACAGRCAAGTTTGAACATAAATCATCTTTACTGTGTCATGTTGTATGCTTCACAAAGCTGTGTGGTAAGTTAACAGCACTGTATGTGGAAACTTGATTCTTTTGAAGAATTGAGTGWTTCTGGAAATGAAAATGCTTTATGTTTTAACTTTGGATTTAACATCTAGTAAGCCTTAAACTTCCATGTGAGCTTTAATAGGACAGGAACATCTTAAACTTCCCGATTATCCCTCTACTTAAGGAGGCTGGCAGTGTGTTCGAAACTAAGTAAACATTGACCAAATATGAGCATGAAAACAGTGAGGTGCCTGAGGTCTGATGAAAGCTGAGGAAACTGATGGTTGAACTTGTGGTGTATTCATTGGAAAAGCAAATGTAATTTGCTCTACTTCATCTTCAGTCTGTTTCTCACCACTATGTCTAAGCACATACATTTTCCTCTTTAACCTGCWGAGTTTTGTCAGATCAGAAATGTCATTTCTGTCTCATAACTGCTAGCAGTAAATAGCATGTACAAACATGTTTCATCCTGAAACAACCAGACTGTGTTTCCGCTAAATTAGTATTAGAAATTTCTAGGACTTCAGGTTTTTTTTTTTATTACAGTAACTTAATGCCTCATTTTCCTTTTTTAAATCCACAGATATTTGTTGTTAGAATAGCAGGCTTGATTTTTTTTTTTAAAAGAAAACGGCCAAAAACTGAAAGGAACACTGTGACATAACAGCACTTAATTCAGAGAGTYGAAGTGACTCCTAAATGTAGGAGTCACTATTTTTTTCTGTAATCCTGAAAACAGCTCCCAAGGAAAAAAGTTRGCATGGAACTACAGAAAAGACCCAAAACCTCAGGCAGTGCCAGTTTATTAYTGTTTTATGTTACACAGTTATGTAAACAATCTGTGTCAACTTTCTGTGTAAGCAATGTGARAACTTACTGAGTTGTCCTGTTGAATCCTGTGCTGTCATGCAGTCTTAAGTATGTTGAGTAGCTGATTTGGGGCCCTTTTCTTGATAGAATGTCACGCTAGAAAGCTTGTCAAATGCAGGTTTTGAAGAATGATGCCTAAAGAGAGAGCAGGTGAAAATGAGACCAGTTGCAGTGGGGATCTAAGGAATGAGATAGAAATGTGCTTGGAGCCCCATCAAACAGGGAGGAAATTCATGGATAGCTTCATTGCTGCAATGTTGTTGAAAACCCAACAAAAGAAATAGAGTAATGAAACATTACTTAGAGCTGTATTTCTGAAGGGCATAGTAGAATGGTTTCTACTGTTCTGTTTAGGCTCAAACGTTTTCTGAAACTTCAGTCAACCTTTTTCCCCTGACTGCTGCTTTCTGTCATGTCAGAGGATGAAGTTTTTGCTGCTGCAGCAGAAGTACCTGGAATACCTGGAGGATGGCAAGGTCCTGGAGGCACTTCAGGTTCTACGCTGTGAACTGACGCCTCTGAAATATAATACAGAACGCATTCATGTCCTCAGTGGGTAAGTTTGGACTTTGAGAGCTCTTRCAGAGAAGTTTTTTAAGGAATCCTGTAGCTTTTGATAGCTGATGTTGTGARGACTCAAGCTGTATTAAAGCTACTATTTTAGTGATTAATTAGCTGTAGTGGGATGTGATAAAATGCTGAATAAAGAATACTGTTCAGTAGAYAGTATTTTGTTTCAGATGCTTGAAAACAACTTGATGATGATTTACTTTTGTACTAGTAGAATCCAAATTAATAAGACATATTTTACCTTCCCTAAAGTTGCTTGTGTTTTGTTTTGTTTTTTTTCCTATGGGCTGTTTGCAGACATTTGTTCAGAAGATGTGTGTTTGTGTGAAATAGTTCCCTGCCTTTTTCCCATTGGTCTCAAGCTTAAGTCACCTGTTCCCACTTCCTTAAAAATGTTATGATCTGTGTCATGCTTAAAAGTGAAAAGAATKATTCCAAAAAGACTTGGTCTGTTGGTGTATGTGCACTTTTGAAACAGGTACCTGATGTGTAGCCATGCAGAAGACTTGCGTGCAAAAGCAGAGTGGGAAGGGAAAGGAACAGCTTCCAGATCTAAACTTTTGGACAAACTCCAGAGTAAGATGTTCTAGTGTTTATAATTTCTTCTCATCTCCGTTAATCTGATATAACTTCCGTATCCCAGGGAATTGACTTTACCTGTGTTTGCTGGTTGGTTGRTTTTTTGTATTTCTTGATTCATGGGGATATCTTTAGTTGCCTTTACGCTTCGGTCTTCYGTACCTAACCTTTTGCTGTCTGTGATTATTTCTTAGCTCTGCTGCATGCAGCAGTGATATAACGTGGTGATTTAATGTTTGCCTTAGGGAAGGGTGGGTGGGTGTTATAAATGCCAGCCATAGTGAGTTAGTGGTGGAAATGMAGTGTGGCCTATAACCACTAGTGATACTGGTACTGGTTGATAGTGGTCTCATACTTTGCTCRGAATTCCGGTTTCTCCTCTTTCTTGTGGCTGTTGTGGTACTATGTAGCAGAGTTATAAAACCATGGTATTCTTTATTTTCATACTGCTAACAGTTAATTCCTTAAATGAACACAGMTGATACTGTTGTTTTACAATGTTATAGATTTTGTTAAATACTGAGTTTTGAGTTRGCTTGTTTAAATGGGGCTTGTTGGCCAGGACAACATACTCTGTAWGACAAATACTTTGCATACAGCTTTGCTTTCCAGAAGTTCATGCTTCTAATTCCAGGKGTATAGCTGGAAATTTGACAAGCTGTGTGCTGTTATTTTCTAAGGTCTCTTCTAAAACTTCTCAGATCAAAGTATGCTCTTATTTGTAACTTGCTTTTGATGAGTCTTTTTTCCTTCACTTGTTTGTTTTTCTTTCTGACTCCTCTGAAGCCTACCTACCCCCATCAGTGATGCTTCCTCCGAGGCGTTTACAGAACCTGCTCCGCCAGGCTGTGGAACTCCAACGGGACCGGTGCCTATATCACAACACGAAACTAGACAGCAATCTAGATTCTGTCTCGCTGCTAATAGATCACGTTTGTAGTAGGTRAGAAAYCTTCCTGACTTCCAAGATGGGCAACAATATCTTCTCTTGGTCTTTKAAAAGAATCGGATTGTACCWGCTGTTAGCAGGAAAGGGAAAACTATTCTGACCTGGTTCATYAGGGTTTTATGGGGAAAAAATGGTTCTTGTTAAGTGGAGATGGAAAGTAAAGAAGGTGTGTAGAGGAGATTTTGGTATGGGGATACCCCACTGGATATGGGATAATGAGATCAGACTGAAGCTTTAACATTTTAATCAGATTGGTATAAAAAGAAGATACTGCTATGCTAATCCTTAGCCACTTGTTTCTTGTCATTTTGGACAGCCAGTCTGCTTATTCATCAACATAGGATTGCTGTGCTTTTTCACTGATGAATCGGTAGTATGTTAACTTATCCAGGCTATGTCTTCAAGGTTACTGGAATGCAGAAAGCCTACTGAAACCTGCTTCTGTGAACTCAGCTTTCAGCTGTAGCTTTTAATAGTGGACACAGGTGCTTTTAGGCACAGAGGTTAAAACAGAGGAGAAATGTGCAATCGATTTTTCTGATTTACATAATATATAATGCAAATAGTATGAAGAAGTATTTTCTCAGATTTGTAAGGTAGTAAGAATTGAGTGTCTCTTATACTTTTGTGTTGTCTCTTTAGTCTGTTTGGATAACTTYTTTTGGTGGCAAAATGGATGCCGTTTCTGAACTTTCAAGATGCAATACTTTAATAGATATGAAACAGGAAGATATTTGTTTTTAACAAATGGCTGACTTGAGCAGTTTTTCCTCATGCAGCAAAACTTGGCTAAGGACCTAAAAACTCAGTGTAGCTTTTATGGGAAACTGCTGTGCTGTGCATGGTGGATTAAGGGAATGCAGGCTAGAACATAAAGGCYRTATGGGATWTCCTTATATGTKTGTSCATGTAACAGGCTAACACCTGGGCTTACAGGGGARTTGTTTCCATGTTAAGGTTAGCTCATCTGAGGAAGTTAATTAAAAACTGATAAACTTGCTTATAAGAATTTTCTGATTTCAGCTGCTTTGACGTGTGTTCTTGAATTACTGGGAAACAGTTTTTAAAGATGCAGACTTCCATAGTACTTCACTGTAGCCATCTTAATRTTTTAAAACTACTATCTTTGGCACTTTATGTATTCAAGTAATCTAGCTTACAATTTTGCTGTGTTGCATTGTTTCAGCCAACTGTGTGTGGGCGGATGTTTGACTGTTGCCCATTTTAAGAGCTTTTGGAAATGGTCATATACTGGTATTGTCCATAAGTAGTATTGGATGTTGTGTAACAGGTTTGATATTGGTAATCAAACCCCTAGGAACATTCAARACCACTGTGAGGAGCTTGGTTTACTGAAGTCAGACTAAGTAGTATTAGATCTAAAAGATAATACATGCAACAAACCTGGGTTTAAATTTTCCCCRATCTGAATCTATTTGCTGACATAAGGGTTTGTCCATTATTAGGGATTTTGGTTTGTTGGTTCATATTTTTTCACTGAAGTAGTCCTGCTAAACTTGCATATTTGGTGTATGTATAAGTACATACTTATTTGGTGTATGCATAAGTACATAGATACTCATGACTACTATACTTAAAAAAAAAATCCAACAAAAAGGTACCCAAAAACCCACTTGAAAATAAAGACTTCCAATCTGTCCTCATCCTATTGTACCTACCTGTTGCAGGGGTCTGAGTTTAGTTTGTGGTGTGCTGTACGGGCTGCCCATGCTTGGGCATATTGGAGGTGAGTTAGACAGTGGAAGCCAAATTTTGATGAAGTTGACAGAAGTAAGAGTAGTCTAATACCTTAGACAATTTAAGTCTTGTACTACATAATTGACAGAACAATGACAMGTTTCCCTTTTTTAGTTGAAACTAATCCATTTTGTACTTAAGGCAATATTTTGGTTAAGCCTGCTTGAATTGCACTAAGAGGCAAAATGTTTAACTAAAACTCACTTGTGAGAGTGGGAGATGTGAGTGAGACACTACTGGGAGTGAAGGTGAAGGATTTCATCTTACTGTGCCAGGGATGTTGATAGTAGAAAACTGATGCACTTAGGAATTGTGATTTTTGGTTTTGAGAGCCTTTGGCCTAGTTGAGTGTGCTGGGGTTTCTTTTGGTAAGGTTTTTTTTTTTGTTTGTTTGTTTGGATTTTTTGTTTTCTTTGTTGAGGAATAACTCTTTCATTGCATGTACAAGGAATAAAAGAGTAGCTATTTAGTGTTCTACTCTATAATTTTGAACTTGTGTAAATACAACAACAGGAAACTTTGCATGCTGCATTTCTGTATGTGAATGACATAATTCAGGTGTTTTGTGCTGAACAGGGCAATTTGTAATGAAACAAAGATAAAGATAAAGAWAAACCTTTGAGCTGCAGTAATATCTAATTACCAAAACCAGAAAGTGTTAAGACAACTGGTTCTGGTTTCTTGTTTCAAGACTGCTGCTCTTTCCTTCTACAGCCTGGTTATTTAATGTAGCTTTGCTCTCTGTGAAGTCTTTTCTTAAGCTTTAAAATGCAAGAGCTATTGTTCCATAGAGAATTAGTTTGAAATGAAATATGCTGAAAAGACTTTCCTGGGACACAGTATGCCTCCTGTGCTTTATGTGAGTTATGGATGCAGCCTCACCTCCTAGAGCGAATTGCTGCTCTGGGTAAAAACACTAGCTAACAAYAATATGGCTAAATAATTATGTAATTCTTCCTGTAGGTGCAAATGTCTCTGTAAGGGCTTACCTGATTCCCTCTAGACTTCAAGGAAAACAAAGTCTTCTTTTGTGGGTGGGACTCTTTACCTTGGGTTCAGTGTTCTTCCAGGGGCAACTAGGCAGTTCCTGGTCAGCTGAAAGCAGGAGCAGAACACACTTGTGTTTCTCTATAAGCAAGTAAGTACAGACATACCCAAGGAGGCCAATTACATATATGTACATTTTATCCTCCTCTACCATAAGACAGGAAATGAGACTGTATGGTTGTTCAGTGCYGCTTGATAGTCTTTAAACACAGACAAGGAAGCCTCTTCTAGTAAAAAAAAAAAATGGACTGAGAGGTTATAGACACTGTGTGAAACAGAACTTTAACTTCAGGTAAGAAGTAGGGTTTTAGGTGTCTGTCAGCCTAGCTGCTCCCAAACCGTATTTGTAAATATGAATGTGAAGGAACTAAGTTTCCTGCTTAAATTAATTGGGAGGGAGGGGGTGGTGTTTGATTATTTTAATTTTTATTTTTCTTTCCTTTGGTGGGTGGGTGTATTGTGTTTTTGTTGGTTTTGGTTTTTTGGGTTTTTTAAAGCCAGTTTATCTCCAGTGGTAAATATAACTCTGCATACAAGGGTCGTGTCATTCCCTTAGTACCACCATGTCCCATCAGAGTTGTGTTGCTCTGTTGCAATGGGTGCCGGAAAAACTMAGCCTATGACTAAACCACTTCAGGATCTCTGCAGTTGAAAAAACAATGTCTGTGGTTAGAGACTATCTTCTAGTGCATCTGAACAATRAACTTGTACTTCTTGCAGTATTACTCAGAAATGCAGACATCTATTGTAAAAGTCTACATTTATTTTACCTTAGCTCTGAAATTCTTATTTGAGAGCTTGTAGGCAAAATTTAAATCAAATAAAACTTGTCTCCAGTTCTCACCTAACTTAATATTTTGACTGTTAGCTTTTCCTCAGTGTGTAACTAGAATATTAAATGTTCGCTCTMGAGGAATGTTTCACTCTTCTTCAGTAGTTTATCATGTAATATTTTGTTCGATAAACACAACATTTTACAAAATAATGTAGATTTTGTGGGGGAGAACTGTTCCAGTTGAAACCTCAATGGTATCTTGCTAGTTACGCTTAGATATTATATGTGGTACTCGGCAGAGAAAATAAAAGATGACAAAACAAAGGCAAAGAAACATCTAATTTATTGGAAGGTCACATTCAGGAAAAGGAACTTTTATGTAAGAATAATTTCTAAAGACTTGGCAAGATACAACAAAATGAGTTCAATACCTACAAAGACCTCATGAGTTAAACCATTGCACCTGTGGTTCAAAGAGACCAATGCTGTAGTATTTTCTATACATTAGAAAATTATAYAGTAATAAGCTGTTACACTCCTGATGAGGTCAATTTTATTCCAAGTTACATGAAAGCATAACAAATTATGTGAGTGAAATAMGAATAGTTCTGTGTTCTTATGGTTAATTATGATGACTTGATGGTGTGAGYTTGTTGCCAGATAAGACACTTCATTCTGTACTTATTTGAAGCAGCTGTTAMTAGAGGAGTTTTCTAAGTTGTCTGGTCTTGCATTTAAATAAGGTTTTTGTTTGATTGTCTCTTTTAATAGCTTGATTTTATAAAATCTTACTGCTTACTTACTAATCTGTGAATCCCTTTGTTTTCCCAGGAAACAGTTCCCATGCTATACCCAGCAGATCCTAACGGAGCACTGTAATGAAGTGTGGTTCTGTAAATTCTCCAACGACGGCACTAAATTAGCAACAGGCTCTAAGGACACAACCGTTATTATATGGCAGGTTGATCCAGTAAGTGTGCCAAATGTGAAAACATGCATGACTTGTCTTTCCCTTCCCTCTCAGCTTTCTCGTGCTAGAATGGTGTGATTCTTGTAGGATAGGCTGACATGGACAGTAGTCCTCTTAAATCTCATTCCCTGCKATGTAAAGGTCTTGTAAATCTTGTAGCTGTAGGATATTTCATACATCTTTCCTACACATATCTATTCATATGTAAATAAAAAGATTAATCTAAGCTTGTTTTGARTCGTAGAAATGATTATGAAAGTATGGCAGTCTATTTCATAATAATTGAAGACAGCAAATAAACTTGAACATTAACACACAATTATTTGAAGTTGCTAATGCTTGTGAAACACTATCAGAAATAACATTTTTAGTTTTTTAACCACACAGCTGCAGGCTGGTATGTGAGGTGGAAAATGAAAGGTTTTTGCAGTTCCATGCYGGTTTTCAGTACGATTTGAGAGCTGAATTTAATTCTTTTCTCTCACTTCAGGAGAGAAGGAAGCCATATAATCTGAGTCTTTTTTTGCTGTTAAAATGATGGGAGGACTTAAAAGGCTGTTCCATGTGCATAGTTGTTATGTAGCCCCAGAACTAACACCGTGTATTTTTCAGGCATAAACCTGAAAACCATACTGTGGTTTGTGTGTTACCAGGGCCAGTGTATTCTGGACCAAGAGCTGTATAGAAGCAAAGCTGACTTCTGTTACTTAGTTTGGAAATAATCCGTATTTTGTGTGTTATTTGTTTTGGGTTTTTTTTTAACAGAGTAATTTAGGTAAATTAAGGATCAAACGTTTTTTGCTATTGTCGCTTGATTGTAGATGCACATCTTCTTTTTATATTGATGTGTTTAATACCAAACATCTTGATTAGCACCTTTTATAGTGAATTGTTAGCTAATAGCTGGTTAGTAAAACCAAATGAATGTTTCCTGAGTGTTTATTCTTTAGCAACCCTTTTGATGAAGGGTTGCTRAAAAATAAAAATATCTAAAAAACAGTTAGTGGGAAAGCAGTTTYGTAGAGTTTCGTTGGTTCCTCTTTTTTTTTTTTTTGAGTGCGCTAAAAAAAAATTGAAACCTGTTCAAGCAGGTGGATACCTAAATAGCATTAGCCCACATCAAATGGTTCATTCTCAAATTGGCCAGAGCATGCTTCTCACGTTTCCTGTAGCAGTTGACAATGTCTTTTGACCTGTAAATTTAATCTGGTTTTCAAGGCATTGGGTATACAGAATTATTTTAATATGTTTGCATAAACTACATGGAAACATCTGTCCAACAATGTCTGGTCAAGTAGTGTGCGAACACTGTTTTTAATGAACAGTATTTGATTTTTACACACACACTTCACATGTGTGAGAATCCTTAATTTCTCCTGTTCTTTTCTTCATCACACTTCTTGGAGTGTAATGACACTACTGCAATGCTTTCTTAATTTCTTACCTTGAATTTTAAGTCTTTTCTAAGACCCAACCACATGTCTAGACTGTCTTTAACTATGCTTCTGTTGTCATTTTCATGTGTTAGATTTCGTTTCAAAGTTCTAATGCATACTCAGCAGCATTAAGTAGTGTCTTCAGTTGACTAGGCTTGTGTGGGATGCATTATTTGACTGTCAGGAAGTGTGGCAGGATCTCTGTGGAGCACAAAGGATAAGCACACTCTGTGCATCACCTTGTCTAAAACACATCTTTGTTAAGAATTCTCCTTTAACTGGCTCATCACAAAAATCCCTTCTGCATTTTCTGAAAACCATTGACAGGTTTTGGGCTTTTMAGCCAAGTAGCTCAACTACTGCAGRCTTSAGTTGATGCCTGAATAGTTGCTTGTCATRCACAACAAAAGTTTGGGAAGCTACATGTAAGGGATAGAAGTGCTGAGATTTCTTTTGGTGGTGGGTGGGAGGCAGATTGACTACACTTGGTTTGCCTGAAATACCACTGACTGCTGTTTTAGAGCATGGTATAGCAGCTTTAGGGYATTTGGAGGGACGTATGAGAGCAGTATAGAAGATAGTAACAGCCACAGAGTTCTATCATTAGAAGAGGAATATCTTATCTGTCTTGTTCCTCCTGAGTTTCAGATATGCTGAAGTGACAGGCTGCTTTAATCCTGTTGTARAAAGAAATGTATCTGTTCCAGACAAGCTCCAGGATGTGAGATCATGTCAGACATGACTCAGTTTCCTTGAAAATGACTTTAGCTACAGACACAGCAGTGTCTAATGCAGTCCAGGAATAATGGTTAGAATGGAAAAGGGGTCTTGACGAGTCCWTTCTTTTGCCCTTCTTTCTCTGCACTCTGAAGATTTTTCTTAGCTCACTTTCTTTTGAGGAATTTGCAATTTCTAGCCAGCAGAACCTCCAGTACCACAGGCTGGCTGAGAGTCACCAAATCCCTCACAGCTGATCCCAGGGAACAATCGTTCGTGTCACTCTTCCACTGGCCTTTCCCTTTAAAAATCAAGAAGTGATCTGTTGCTTGATACTGGAAAAAAAAAAAGAGAGGGACAATTAGAGAAATCAGGCTAGATTTTCAAATTAGTCACTCTTTTTGAAAAGAAGTTGGAGCTATAAACATCGGTCATGCATGGAAAAAAAATGGGAGGGGGGTGGAGGGAGGACAATTTGATTACCCCTTTCCAAGAGGCTCCAAGAAATTATTGCCATCATTTTAAAAAGCTCTGTTCTACTTGTGTATGTGTATGCTGTTGTCAAAAGTCAGYGCTAATACTGTACTGAAGCATGTTTCTGTATTTAGGAAGTCAGTGTGTGATTGTTTCACAGTATCTGGCAGTACTGCTTATTTTTATAAGCTTCTTGAAAGTCAAGTTCCTCTGACAAGGCAGCAGTAAAACAGTTGTAATATAAAGATGATACAAGACACTGCATGCGCCAAGTATGCTTCATTCACTAAATCTGGCAGAAAACAGCTTGCTGTGGGAAACACTTCTGAAATAAGAACACCTCTCAGTGAAGTTTTTAAAAATACGTTTCTATAAATAATCTTTCTTGAGCAGCATGCACAAGATACACTTAAGTTTTTTAAAATATTGGCCCTTCAMGGCTTTTCTTTGTCAGTATCTGTGGAGGTTTTAGTTTTCTGTTTAACCATAAGAGGCTTCAAATGTGTCTTTACTTATAAGAAAGTAACTTAATTCTGTAAAATATGGATACTTTCATAATCCAGTAGATGTACAAAKACTTGACTCTACAGAAATCTTCTGTGCTAAAGCAAGTGTAATGTTATGTAAAACTTTTATACACAGTGGTATTTTGTAAGCTTTACATTCAGAATCACAGAAGATTAAAACAAAAATATGTATAAGTATTCTTGTTTTGAAGGTTGAAATTTAGAGTCTTTTATTTCTGGCCTTACCCTGTAAACTAGCAATTACTTTTCCAGTACTGTTCACATCTTGCAGGTGCCAGGTTGCTTAAAGCAAACTTTCTGTGCTGTGCATGGACCCTGTGGAAATGTGAAATGTAGTGGGAGTTCATTTGCATTGTCTCAAGAGCCCCTCTCTTGTTCCAGGACACTCACCAGCTAAAACTACTTAAGACGTTAGAAGGTCACGCGTATGGGGTCTCCTACATTGCCTGGAGTCCAGATGACAAYTACCTTGTTGCCTGTGGCCCAGATGATTGTTCTGAGCTTTGGCTCTGGAATGTACAAGTAAGTGGTGACTTATGAGTGAAAAAGAAAACTGTGGTCAACCTCCTGCTTTTGTTTCAATATGTAAATACTTAAAAGCCTCAAAGAAGTAATCGCTGCAAAGTCGTGCCAAGGTGTGAGAGCCAAGAAGARATGTTGATCTCCCTGCCCCTTCTCAGTTTGAAAATAAGGCAGCCTACAAATTCTCTTTGCACTTTGGACAGAGCTGAAATTGGAGTTCATGTCTAAGTGTCTGGGATTGTGTAGCAAGTCAGGTGTATCTGGTTACTGATCATTTCTGAGAAGGGGTGACATAAATGCACAGGACCTCAGCTTTTGAGGAGAAAGGCAACAAACTAAGCAAGAGAAGCAGAGGGCAGAATTATCATTGAAGGGAAGCAGTATGGGATATCCTTATATGTTTGTCCCTGTAACAGGCTAACCCTTGGGCTTACAATTTTAACAAGTAACAAAAGTCAAATATGCAAACCATTTTACTTCATGTAACCCTCCCGGTCATGTTAGTGACAGATCCACAGAGGCTTAAATTTATGATTTCAGAACTTCATCTTTCAGTCAGGCACTAGGGCATTTTGCCATTTCTCCATGAATTTGGAAATCACTTTCTGCTCTTGAATTTTATGGGCACTTGAGTTGGTATAAAAGCTTCCCTTGCCTCGGTTGAGAGCTGTATAGACTTCCTTGTGCTGCCTTGGACTCTGAACTAATTTGGTTTCACAAAACAAAAACGTTCCCTTTCTTCACCCTTGGAACACTTTTCTTCTGTTTAATTGACTAAATTGGCTCAGTGAAGAGCACTACTGACAATGCCACTCATTGGTGTTCTGTCTTGTGAAACGGTGGCATTTTATGCTAGGGACGAAAGCTAAGTTTTGGCACGGAGAACTTCAGCTGAAGGAGGAAAACATCCWAAATACTGTGATATTCTTAACTTCTTAGTAAAATGTATTTTGTCCCCCCTTTTCTTGTAGCCTCTTCATGCCTCCTTTCTTTCAGTGTTTTGGTTTTTTTTTTCATTTCATAGTGCTTGTCACTCTCTTGGTTTGTAGTTTCTTTTCATTCCACTCTTTACTCATCATCTTTTAGTTGTCCAACACACCGGCTATTCTATCTCTCTTGATTTGAGAGATGAAGTAAATTGTCCCAAATCAAGTGTAAATTAACTGGAAATGCTGAAGTAGTTCTACCTTTTTATTGCATTATTCATAAATTTGTGTTGCTTTTTAATAACAATGTTGAAAAATACATGCTACATGTCAGATAAAATTATGAGTGCCTTTTTGGGAAAGGGTTCTGGTATAAGGCCCTGCTGCCTTTGGWTTTTTTCCAGACTGGGGAGCTGAGGACAAAGATGAGCCAGTCTCATGAAGACAGTTTAACAAGCGTGGCCTGGAATCCTGATGGGAAGCGTTTTGTAACGGGAGGGCAGCGTGGACAGTTCTATCAGTGTGTAAGTTYTCTGCATCTGTCTCTTGGAAAGCAAAGCAAGAAATTAAAGTTGGGTCAAGTCTGAGGTTGATGTTTTTTTCAGGTTTTTGTGTGTGTGCACACTACAGCTTCTGGTGCTTTGTAATTCAAAGAAGCAATACATTAATGCAAGTATTTCAGCAGCCCTTCTGTGTGGAGCAGTTTGAAGGGTTTGAGCATCTTTGGTCTGCCTCAAGGAGGATTTGTGGTCTGGAATTCGTTTTCTTAGCTGCTTCAGAAAAAAAGCACTAATAAAAAGCACTACCTTTGTCTACAAATGTTTTTATTCCACAGAATTGTGACTGTTTCTTAGTTTTCACATGCTGTCTTTCATTACTGAAAACAAATTTGAAACCCTCATTACTTGACTAGCATTGCTTTGGGGTGGTGGTCCACAGTCTCACCATATTAATGATTGTCATTTCATCTGAATTGGTGCCCAGAATAATAGTCCAGTATGCAAACCTCACTGCAAAGGTCAGCTCAGTCATGGCATGTAGATGGCACATGTCATGYACAAGAAAATAAGTGACACAAGGGATTCTCTGCTCTCTAGGGCAAATTCCTACAAAAGCCCTCAGTTACGACAACCAACTCCTAATTCATTAAGTTCTCCCTTTCAAAGGGTAAGATTGCTTTCTGTAGCAATTGTCTGAATAGAAGAAGGTATTTGTGTCTCAACTTGTCAGAAATCTGAGACTAATGGTTCATTTTTTGTTGTTTTTTCTGTTGTTTTTTCTTCTGCTCAGGATTTAGATGGTAATCTCCTTGACTCCTGGGAAGGGGTGAGAGTACAATGCCTTTGGTGCTTGAGTGATGGGAAAACTGTTCTAGCGTCGGACACACACCAGCGAATTCGGGGTTATAACTTTGAGGATCTCACAGACAGGAACATGTAACTACCTTTTCTTTTGGTTCTGAATTCCTGCTTCTTAGTGTCAGAAGAAAGTTGACGAAGGGTTGTGGGGGATGGGATGGGAAATGAGTTGGTAAATGCTCTCAATATTAAAAGAAGATAACAATAACACAGGACAAGAATTAGTGAGCAAGTTTCAGCAAGCAGCATCAGATCAAGTATTAAAAATAACTTCCTAAGACCTGGAGTAGATTTCTGGTGGATGTTTTGACATTTCTGTCTTTAGAATATTTGTAGTCCTCTCAATACCTGGCATATTTTAGTAGATTCTTCCTTGAATTTAGGAGTTGGAGTTGAGTTCTGAGGTCCCTTTTGATCTTGGTGTTTGGCCTAAGTATAAGCAATTATTGGCTTATACTGGCTTGTACTACTGTATAGGGTCATACCTAATTTCATATTTGGAACTGTTTTTGCCTCATAATATTGCAGACATAGGACATGCCTTTTGTCTTGGTATTGCATCATTATCTTGACATTCATGTCTTATCATTTCAGAGTACAAGAAGATCACCCTATTATGTCGTTTACTATTTCAAAAAATGGCCGTTTAGCTTTGTTAAATGTAGCAACTCAGGTGAGTTGGGGATGTTGAAAGGAAATGGAAATAAACCTGCTTGCCACTGCTWCCTGTTTTCAAATATTTTGATGTGAGTTGGAATGTTTGCTATTAACTAGTTGTGAATTGGATAATATGAARGCCTTAATATTCATAAATACAGCATGGAATTCTGTGATAAGAAGGCAGTCTTGTTCTTGAGACTTTTTTGGGGATTTGACTGATCTATAATCAAGAGTGTAATATTGTGAAATATGTACTATTAAGTCTTATTATCTGGCTATTGTATTGAGAAGCCAGGTGCAGCAAAAATTGTGGCAGGTTGACATGTCTGGGGGCATGAGAATTAGTTTTTATTTATCTAGTTCTGCTTTTGGAACCTTGGGTAAGAATAAGAGCTCTCAGAGTGGAAGGGACCAAAGACTGAAAGTTTTGTTYAGTAATTTGATACATCTTTATTCTTTTCATCTCGTAACAGTACTGAAATCAGCTCTGGAGTAGTGTACTGTTGTGTTTCTTGGGTTTTTTTCATAGTTCAGAAGAATGCCATTAATAATGTTTCATTATAAAATAACATTCTTTRTATTTCTTATTTCCAGGGAGTTCACTTATGGGACTTACAAGACAGAGTTTTAGTGAGAAAGTATCAAGGTGTTACACAAGGATTTTACACAATTCACTCATGTTTTGGAGGTCATAATGAAGATTTCATTGCGAGTGGCAGTGAAGGTAACACCATTCTCCTTTGTGCAGAAAACTGGAACACTGTATCATYCCTATACCTTCATTTTATAGATGACAGTTGCTAACAACAACATTATAAAAGCAAGCAAACTGGTTCATGAAATAAATTTGAGGCGTGCTGAGATTGTGGCATGCTACAAGAAGTAATTGTGGGCTGGCAGAAAAAATCTTCTGAGAGGATGGCAGAGGTAGAAAGCATTAATGACTCTTTTGTGTTYCTCCTCTAAAGCAAAAGCATCTGCACAGTTTTAATTAGAAGTGGGTGGGGTGTTCTTGAGGATTCTTCTTTTTGTGGTATGAATCTTAGATTTTTGGTTTGAATAAAAAATGCTTCTGGGAAATAACAGCTTCATTGGCTTGTTGAAGGTACAGGTGTGGTGAGGTTATTTTAATTTCAGTAGAATCATTTTAATTACAGACAGAGTAGTCTCAAATTAAGCAGTTGTTGACGTAGTCTGGTAGGGCTTCTTGGTGATTAAAGGCTTTGTGGTGTGTTTTTATTCAGCTCTCTGCGGCAAGAGTAGAAATTTGTTAAAAGCTTATGTGTTGAATTGGTTCAGTTCTGYCACTGGTGTAGTGCCATCACCTGCCATGGAGGTCACTTAAAATTCAAGCTTATGCAGAGTTTATGTAGGAATTACACTTGTAATATGTAAACAAATCACTGTGAGTGTTGCATAATTCAGAGTTCTTAGGAAACAAGGTTGGCCAGGGCATYTCCTACTATCATGTTTTTGGAAAATGCTAAATACATCTAAAATAAAAGCTTCACCCTCTTACTATGTCCAGTGGAATATKAGTGAAGGACAGCACCTCCAGTCCTCCGATCATGTTTAGACAAGCTTTTTGGTTTGAGACCTGAGTGCCTGAAAGGATTTGTTTAACCATAATTGCATGCATGTGTTGGTGCAGATACTGTAGTGCCCCAGTTCTTTCCCCCCCTAGTTTATTTACTTTTTATTGTCTTAATTGTTTAAAAACCACTGTAGTGAAAACTGATGGTAAGAAACTGATGGTTCCTTAGATTTGAACTGCCTGATGCTTTGCAAATGTGGAAACTCAAAGTCTATTTTAAAAACAAGCAGACAAACAAAAATAACAGATCACATTGTCAAAGCCTTTTTCTAAAAAGTAATTGATCACATTGTCATAACCTCTCAAAACATGTTTTCAGCTAGGTAAGGGTTTTCCTGACAATTGCATGAATAGGAACAAAACGGAGGTCTCTGTCTCAGCAGAGGTATTGGCTGCTGTCTTGATGTAGCTATCTTGTTTTTTGCCAAGTACAGGCATTTAGACAAGCACCAAAGTGTATTGCTTTGTGTTTAGGTTTTTATTCTCTGAGAAAGCAGAGCTTGTGTGTCCAGTACGTGAATTGTGTTCTTTGCTGAATGTCATGGACATGTAGTCTCTTGAAAGTCCAAATGGAGTGTAAGCCCAGCCAGAACATTTGCATCAACATAAGCACATGTGAAGGTGGTACCCTYAAATGAGCTGGTTCAGCAGAAGACAAGGGAGGTACCRCATGGTTCYATGAGGCTTTTYTGGCAAGGAGGCCASAGAGCAAGTTTGTTTTAAGATGGGCTGGGAAGAGGCATAGAGGAAGATTGGTTAGAGTGCTGAGCCTTCAGAGTGGCATCTATGTCAAAGTCTTTGAAACAGATAAAATGCTTAYATTTGATGTGCTAGACCCTAACACAGGGCTTCTGTGTAATACTAATAACGCATGCTTATTCTGTTTGTGTAGCTGTTTGGAATATTCCGCAGGCATTCCTAGAGAGGTAAACCCACAGACTTGTTACAGGCTGCTGCTCTACAGCTGGAACACCACCACTCCCCCCCCCCAATTTATTCTTAAATATGGTTGGGTATAAAGAATAGCTCTCCTCCATACATTGCAGTAGAGTTKCTATTTCTAACATGTTGCTAGAAGTAGTTAAAAGTTTCCCATTACAAAATAGGATCTGTAGGATTTATTTGCATCTGCTTTAATATGTTCAAATTGATATCTTTAAACATCACACAATAATTAGTTGTCAAAGACAGTAATAACTCACATTTGAGCCATTAAGYTTAGCCCTCCCTTGTTTGCTGTTTGCACTTTCACTGGAGTGTTACAGATCTTTAGTATTAAGATGTTTTTCATGAACTGTAGAGCTGTGATCTTATCTGGTACTCATCAACAAGAGGTAGTTATAATAATTTCRTCTTGGTACTTTATAGACTTTTTAATGCATTTACTAATCTGCAAATACAATTTGAGGGGAAAAAAGTCTGCAGGTCTTCCTTTTGAATGTGACTACAACTCCATACCTGTAATTAAAGAGTTGCTTGGTTTCTCTCTTTAGCCATGTATTGTCTTATTTACATAGYAGTCAAATGTTTTTCTTCAAACATGGCATTTTGCAGGTGTTAAAAATGAATGTGTCTCTTAATGGAAGTGCTTTGCCTGTATTCTTTTAATCACTTTTCAAAGAAAAATTTTGTTAGTGCTGTTGCACACTCAAGACTTGGGTTTTTGATACAGGTTTTACTTTAATGAGAACTTGTGGAAATGCAGTTGGGCACACAGATGAGGCTGTGCAGAGCACTGGTGCTCATGCTGTTCTGCAATGTTTGTTGTTCAGATCACAAAGTGTACATCTGGCACAAGCGCAGCGAGCTGCCCATCGCGGAGCTGACGGGGCACACGCGCACGGTGAACTGCGTGAGCTGGAACCCGCAGATCCCAGCCATGATGGCCAGCGCCTCCGACGACGGCACCGTTAGGATATGGGGACCAGCGCCTTTCGTAGACAACCAGGATATTGAAGGTAAAAATATATGTGTTACTAAAAAATTAGTCACTGCTTTGTTTTTGGTTTTTTTTTTAGTGACTGTTGATTTACAGCTAAGTTACTCATTTTGTGTAATAAAAAAGAAACAACCGGTATTTCCAAAATAGTATTCTGACATGGCCCTATAGAAAACTGTGGTGTCACTAAGACCTTAGGATTATATTAACTTATTTATGCAGACTCCTTAAAAATCTTGCCTCCAATGCTTGAGGTTTAGTAACATACAATGTTATTAAAATTTAAATAGTGCATTCTAACCACACTGCAAATTGAGTAATGGTATTTTAGTGCTTACAAAAGCGATCTCCAAAGTCTGGAGAGAGTTTTCCTCAGGAAAATCTATGCAAAATTGAATCTTTACTAACCATCAGCAAACATGTGTCCAGGTAGAGAGTGACAATGCTCATTTTTTTGCTGTCAGAATGCACAGTGTTCCTGGGCCTTCCTTCTTGCCTCCCTCAGGATTGTTAASGAGTTGACTGCTGGGGAGTTGTTGTGCAGTTTATATGCTTCTGTCATTGCGTTTCAACGTTGCAGTAAGGATTTACAGGAGGCATTAAAATGATATATAGTGTATCCTATTGCCACAGGACCTCATGGATGTGACTTTAAGAGGAAMTTAGGCAAAGTAATCAAAGAGAAATCCATTAAATGCTGTTAGATAAGTAAACACCTCTAGTTCAGAATGTCCCTTAGGTAAAAATGGCTGAAAGTTGCAAGGWTATTAGGAGGAAGAACTACCTCCTCTCCCTGCTCCTGTGCTTTCTGACAAACCTGCTTCTAGTCTGGGACTAGGTGGACCAGCCTGGCTAAGCCTGTTTGTAACACCTGGAATGCCCCCATAAGGAGTCAGAGCCTGACCTCCAGTTGGTTTTACTCATGGCTTTGTTGTTTGGTTTTCTCCAGTGAGCTGCTTGCTCACTCTTTCTTAATTCCTCCTGAAAATGAACTAGTAAGTGCCATAARAACCAAACCAACAGCAAATGGATTTCTCACAGCAGCGCTTTTGCGAGAGGTGTAGGTGCATGGAATAATACCTAACCACTTAGGAATGCTAAATGGGTGACAAGACAGCTCTGTAATTAGCACACTCCCCTAGAACCTGTATGTAAATGTGTGTTACTTCTTTTTGGACCAGATGCTTTTTGAGTACCACGCCTAACATGCTAAATTAATTTCTAGATTGATGTGAATAATTCTATCTAAAATAAGTAATTTTTAGCATGGAATTTAGCTAGAACGTAAGATCCATTRACTAGTGCATGCTCAGTTAAAATTTATGTAAATACATTGTATTTGTTACCTTATGATAGAATTATGAACTGTTGCTAAGATCTTCAAGCTGTGATTTYTTTCTCTCTATGTTTTTGTTTTTGCTCAGAGGAATGCAGTAGCATGGATAGTTGATGGCGAATTTGGAGCAGACGACTTCAGTTTAACTTAATTAGTCGTATTTTAAATGGCTTGGGATTTGGTGCAAACAAACATGATTGATAGCTGGACAGACATGCTCGTCATGAAAAAGAACCATTTCTGAAGCCCGGTTGGGGCCAAACATTTACCACCTTTGCTTCATAGTAACCAGTCGAGATGAAGCACGTCCTTAGAACTTTGTTGGACACCGTGTTGAAATTACCCCCCCATCGGTTGTGAAGAACTGTGCTACATTCAGGCTAACCATTGAACTCAGTATATATATTTTTCCCTCCTGCCTTTTTGTCTGGCAGGCTACTGTTCTTGTTGCTCTTCTGTGTAATGAAGTTTAAATGCTTGTTTGGAACACTTTATTTAACAGTTTAGAAGGCTTGATAGAAAGAGTGCTTTAGTCTGAAGAGTATACATTGGATAGGAAAGTATTTCCTTCTCTTGTTTCTCAAGTCTCTCTCCGCCTTACTTAGCTTGAGATCTTTGCAGCTTGGTTCATGGATTCTAGCCTTGCCCGTTGCGCAGTATATCTACCAATTGAGATGATAAACGAATGAACTATGTCAAAAGCACTCTCAGTATCACATTTGACAAAAAGTTTTGTACTTTTCACATAGCTCGTTGCCCTGCAAAGGGGTTAACAGCACAATTTTTTAAAAATAAATTATTTATAGGATTAAAATGACTTCATTTGTATACATTTGGAATTAAAACAATGCAAGAAGTGTCGTGAAACACGGTATCACTTATGCTTTTCTGGAGTGTCCTGAGACCCAATCAAAAGCAGTGGCTGGAAGGAGATCTATGTAGGCAGTAAAGCTTGTTTCAGATGGAGGAATTCACTGTCCATCTTAACAGATAAACTATCACTAGGGAAAAAACCATTCAGACTGCACCACCAGTCTAAGAGTTTAAACAAGAAGAGGTCTTTTTGGTTTTTTWAATGACATAAATATATGCAACAATGCTGGTACAAAAGGTAGACCACACTTTGAGGGAAGAATGTGTTGAAAGAGTCCTTTCTTCACAAAGTCAACACTTTGTATAAGTAACTTACGTACAAATCATAATTAAACACTTGTATTATGATGGAGATTTTTTTTTCTTTATTTGATAAACAAGGGTGGACAGATTTTGTTGTTGAGAATATACWTTTGAGTTTGCAGATTTAAATGCCTCTCCCAGACCTTGTTGCAAGCTGGTGCTGTGAATATCTTGACACGTCTAGGAATAGTTCCACTAATGTTCCGTGTTAAGAAAACACAAAGACATAATTTAAATTTTTTTTTTTTTGACATACACAGATGGCCTGGCATCTCTGTGCTTCTGCACTACACACAAATCCGTTGTGGGATGGCACTGSATTCCCTTTTGCCACCTTGGGTGGAAAGGTAGTGTTGGTACTGCTGCTAAGTAAAGAAGGAGCAGGGAAGGRCATGCCACCAGGAGTCATGTGAGCAGAAGCGTGAACTTCATCCTTTCATGAGATAATAATCTAGTGTCCTTATTAGTCATGTGTAGAAGAAGGATGGGGGAAAGTTTGCTGGAAGAGAAGTGTAGCCACTTTTCCAGTAGTTTTCCTGGGAAGAGAAGTGTAGCCACTTCAAAGAATGGGAATGTGGTGTTTCCCAGAAAAACAAAGTGAAAGTTGGCAAGTTAGTTTTTTTTCTTTTAGATTCCAGCCATCAGGTAGTGTGTATTTGTCTTGCCTTGTGTGCAAACTTAAGCATGATTTAAGATTCTGATACTGTGCTTGAGACCAGCCTTGAATCTGACACGAGCCTTCTAATACCTCCAAAACCAGGTAGGAACTTAAATGTTTAGCCTTAAAACTAAGGTGAATGCTTTGATGGCAATTATTGTTTCACAGCACTGGGAATACATGTGTTAACTTAAGAAAATAAATCAGTTTCTTTTTCCTTTAATGAGTTCTGAAGGAAGAGCTTGAATTCTCTTCCTAATTCAGACAGTGTAAAATTAGTCAGGTTTGTTCCTGTGCTGTTGATGTTGCAGGAAAACAGACAAGTTCCTATGGTCAAATTTGAGTAATTAAAACCTTGGAGTTTAAAGAAAAATTAATTAACTAAATTGTAAAGAGTACATTGTAAAAGTGTTTTTTTACATGTTCAAAACATGTTTTAATTCATAAGCAATGCCCATATGTCAATATTTGGAAGTTATTTTAGTATTGTATTACTCTGGAACGAATGTTTTCAAACCAAGCATTGTTTAGGGAGAGTAAGGAGAATAATGGTTTTGATGTCTCGTACAATGGTCTGTCACTATGTACTCATGGAAATAAAGTGGGAACTTTAGGCAGGTGGTGAAGGCTGGGTCAAATCTCAAGATTAGAGTCTCATGCACTTCAGCAGGCATTTTTAATGTGGTGGCCATAGCTAACCAGAGTGAGACTCATTCCCTGGTGCAGCTATGGAGGATGTATGGGCTGATGACTTCTTTCCACTGCAGTGCAATTAGGGATTTAAACCTAGGATCTCTGCCMAAACACTGCCCCTCTCTTCTGGACTTGGTTTGTGCCTCTAAAGCACCCTTGTATTTAGAAGCCAAGTTAGGGAGAAGCACGTGTTGCTCTCTGTCCCTCAGTGTCCTGGTGCAGCCATGCCRTGTAAAGGCAAGCTCCAAGTAGATGGCACTGCTTCCAGAGTGTCTCAGTAACAGCACAACAGTGTTTGCATCTCATGGGCCATGAGCAGGCAGGACAGAAAGGTGAGATTAATCTTCATTTTGCCACGCCACTCGGTCCCACGGCAATTGCCATTGGAGATGTAGCAATGACTGTGATCCCAACCTGGAGGTGAAAGAGCAACCTAAACTATTTCCAACACATTGCATATTCACACTACGTGGATTGAAAAGTACCAATACTTTTTGTGCACACACTATAAAATGAGACTGGGGTGGGGTGGGGGAAGAAAAGCCAAATAAGTTTGCTCATTTGCAACACGTTGATTTCCATGTGCTTAAAAATGTTCATAGGCTGGAGTGTAAGGCTGGAACAAGTATGCACCCACAATAAATTACTGTGTTTCTAGTCAGCAGGGCTATGGTTTTGGAGAGGAAAATACTGTAAGTGTGTACTCATTTTGTAACTTTCTCTGGTCACCTGTTGGCTTAAAATATTCACAGCAGCCCCAGGTTAATATCAAGGCAGACCTTAAAAGTGCTGAAGCATTTTATTATCTGAATGTTCTTTAGCTGTTCAGGTAAGTAATTTTCAAGGCACAATGGAACACAAAAGGGAAAATGGTAGCTCTGTTCATGTTTTGGAGGGGAGGGAAGTGGGGGAAATGACACCTTTGTTTTTAAATTCCCTCTGTCTTTTCTAAAGTTCTCCAACTTTAAAGTTAACTTCTCTTTATGATTGGAGCAAAGATGCAAGCTAGAAATCTGCCCAGATCTTGCCAGTTACTTCTCAACTTGGCTTCAACCAGGTAATGTTTAATAAAACTCGGTCTGCTGTTGGGAGTTGGTGCCTAGTTGTGTATTTTTACACTGCTAAGTGATACTCCCACCCAAAATCAGTTGCAAAAGCTTCCTTAGGAGGAAGCCAGGACTCCTACAATTAGCTGTAGCTTGAGGGGATATGTTGTAGATCCAAATGGGGAGGGAGGTAGAGAAAAAAGAATGGACATAAAAAGCAGGATTTACTGACCAACTAACTACTGTAACTTAAGGGGGAGGAGGAAAAATGCACTTTCAATAGTTTGTCCATATTTTTAGCTACAAAATACATTTGTATCTAATTTCTTTTTGACACGACTATTAAGAGGAGTACCCATCCCAGAAATGGCTAATCCTCCTTTTGCCCTCCTCCTGTCTTTTCCACATTGGCTTGAGTCCATTTTCAGTTGCCATACTTGATTTTTGAAAACTGCTACTTTTAACGATGTCTAGAAAGCAAAATCATTAACTATGACACTTTTTTTAAACAGGGTGGACTTAATTGAAGTGTGCAGTGTTGAACTACTGCTGCAGTAGCTGCCTCTAGTTGAAATAAACTGTAGCCAAGTTTTCTGTCTATTCATCCAGATAATCTGGATTCAGTAAAACATCTGTGAGAGTGTTCCTCCCTTCTGGTATGAGTGTGTGTGTGCATGTGTTCCACGAACAGACAGAGAACCAAATGTTCTAGGTACTTGTCATGTTTTATTGCATACTTTAAGTCATGTGTATGTGAAGTGTCCTTTGACCAGAAGGTTTTGGTTAATATCAGTATATTTTTATAAATTTGAAATTCATTGTGCCCCATCTTTTTTCATAAACATTTTTCATTCTTAGGGTATACATGCTAGATTTGAAACTTAACATTTTTAGGCACAGATGGAAAAAGTTATTGGCTCCTTGAAAACATATGGGACAAAATGGATCCTCAAAGCATGTATGTACTTACAAACCAAGCTGTAGAGATCAAGAAAAGAACTTTATTGTTGATCTCAAGATTTCTAAATTGTCAAGATTTATATGGAKTTGTGGTGGAACTAGTTAACACTTAGAGCTTTTGGTATGTAATGACTATTTGCTATGGACTGATATTAAATGTTTCAAAGGATTGCGTTCTTAAACTTTCTGGATTTTTGTTACTCTCCTCGGATATTATTAAGTAGTTAAAAATTTCTTTGCTATATTACATTAAAAACATAAGAACTTTGGGTCTCGTATTTATTTTCACTTGTTTTACTAATTATTTACAGAACACCGTTTTAACTTTTTTATTTTATAAATGTGTAGTATTTTAAACATATCTTTAAAAATTGTTCAATTGGAACTACATTAACTTCTGATTTGTTTTTATTAGGATTTTTTAAAAAAAATACACTTTTTCCATGTTGGTGCACAGCACTTAACAGAAATGTTTGTATTCCCTTTCTTTCAATTCAATAAACAATAAATAACTGGAATGAATAGTTCTTAGTTTCCCTAACTTCACTTAYATGACTGACTTGGATGTTAATTTCTTGATCATTAATTGTAGATTTCTTCCATAGTATTTCAYTTCCCCACTAGGAGAATTAATTAGTGGCCAGTGTAGCTGTAGAGTCCCTCAGTGCTGTGTGCAGGCTCTCCAGTCTCTGCTGYCTGGCTCTAATCCACCTCACCCTTGTGTTTGCACTGTACACGTAGCACTCGACCTGCCCATGTCCTGGTCTGTGCTTATCTCACTGAATAGCTGCTCCCTTGAGGCTCTGGGAAATCCATCATTCCTTAATGCTGCAGCTTGCTTAAATACCAGGCACAGCTTGCTTAAATACCAGGCACAGCTTGCTTTAGGTGATCTGCGAGTTTTATGGAGTTTTTTTGATACTTTGTAATAAGAGGGTGCTCCTGAAGTACTTGGATCTCCTCCTGCCTTTGTGTTTCCCTCCAACTGACCCCATGTAATTGTCTCTCCTCCCTGTGCCTTAAAACAGAAACTCATCTTTGTTGTCCTGCATTTTTATTCAGCTCTAGCTAATGTTATGTTAACAAAATGTTGTGCCTGAAGTTCCTCTCCCTGTAGCTTTTCCAAATTCAAACCTTTTGCTGATGTGCATTCAATCTTTGAATTCTTTTAACTTATGTATTAATTAGAAGTCTTCATTCCCTCTAATAGCRCCTTTGTATTAACTTTATTCTCTCCCTTACAGTTTCAGCAGTGTATAGATAATTACAGCTTAAATGCAGCTGCCAAGAGAAGGGACATGCCTTATTCCTTTCCCTGTCCTACTTTGTGCCGCTTCCCTTGGCTGCTGGTATTTGCAGGAGGTTCTTGGGTTGCAGACACACTTCAGCAATAAATTATCCACATGGCAGATGAAGGAAGTCACTAACAAACCCAGCCAAAAAACCTGTGCTTCTTCTGCCATCCTGTGTCTGCCTTGAACAGGTCAGAAGAGTGCAAGAGAAACAGGTATATGAAGTCYACAGACCTGTGACATGTCAGCATTTGTAAGATTTAAAATTCAGTCCTGGGGGTTTGGAGTGTCGTTTTGATTTTTTTTTAATGTTGTTTTGCTTTTTGGGTTCTTTTAACCCTTCAGATTATTTCAAAGAAATTCCACAAGGAACCTGAGAGTAGATGTGCAGTTCTTTATTAGCTTAAATCCAAACTCAGTGTGAGGTAGGGGCCTTCCTTACACCTTGCCCTGTAYTCTCTGCACTGCCTGGTCACCTCCCTGTGTGCCTTGCACATGCCAAGGCTGTCCCCTCATCCCAGCAGGATGGCAGTGCCACTTGTCTCCTCMCTCTGAAAGACATATATAGTCCTAATGTTCCTATTGCTACCTCCAAYGTCCAGCTCTATACTTAAAGGCATAAATGGTCTTAGGCACTTTTTGTACAAAATCCTGGGGAGCTTCTTGTGAGGAAAAAAAAGAATTAGAATAAAGTTATGACAATCCCAAACTGATAAAGATTTGCTTTTATGGGCTAATTTCACTTGTTAACCTGCATATAGAATGGTTCTTAAAATTACTGGTCACACCACTGATTTATCATGCTCTGTAACAGAGCTACTTTAGGAAAAGCAAACCCCARTTATTTACTAGAATGAGAACGTAAGTATATTCTTTAACAAAACAGGCTAATAACCAACAGTCCGTAACTAATGATTAATTGGGGGAAATACGCAATTGTATGTATTTTAACTAAGCGCCCACATGCAGAACTCTTAACAGCTGAATCATCTCTCTTGGCTGTAGACTGAGGGTGAGGAACAGAGCTCAGTAAYATCAGTTAAAAGTTGGGATCTCTGCAGGACTTCTATTTATTTTCACTGATTAAGWGTTTTCTATCAATCATAGCTAATGGTTCCCCACAAAGTTACACTTGGATGGYTCAGGTCCAAAGGGAAAAGAGTCTGAGTTTGATCACACACCATTTTGTAATGACAGTTGGATGARGTTTTTAAAAAATCAGTTCAAAGTTTCTAATTGTCTTGAATTCTGTATAATAAAATTGAGTTTAATTACTCTGTTCTCCCCTGCTGGAGACCCAGAAAATAGGGAGGTTTTTTATTTTTACTACCATAAAAATTTCTGTGCTCTGCGGGTTTCCCATGAGTGAGACAACTGTAGTACCCCAGTTGTAGCTAATGAAACATGTTTTTAGTAATTATAAATATATTTTTCCTGTTGCTGACACTAACCTCTGTGAAGATCACTGTTGAGGCAGGCARTGACCCTGTGCAGTTAGGGAGACTTCAACATTACCAGTGCAATTAGTCAGCAGAATTGTAGTCTCTGAAACCTACTGTTGTGGTTCTTACAACTGTTACAACCAGTTGTTGGATATAAATGAAGAGATAATTTATCATGTCTTTAGAATTAGATATCAAGCTGCTAGTTTAACTAATGGACTTAAAATCAAATGCAGTTAACGCTCGTGTTTTGCAGTGTGAAACAAGTGTAGTGAGATACACATTGTCAGMAGTACAGCAAGGACCTCACTTAATCTGTTTCTTTTAACACCCAAAATATGTGTTGTGGGGTTTTTCACATAGGCAGTGAAATGATTTTTTGTAACATTTAATTTTCTACAAAAGTTACTAACTTTCTGCTCTTTAAAAATTTTATTTGGTCTCCTTTCTCCAAACCACAACCTCCTGTCTGGATTTTGGCTTTACAGGGCAGTACTTCCTGTAGTTTGATTGTTGTGCTGTCAGGTAATCAGTGGCATCCAGCTGGGATAAGTTTCCTTACTTATTTTCTAATGAGCACAAATTTCAGCAGTTTTTCATCTTTACAACAGCTGAACTTGGACTCCATCCATCCAAAATTTAAAGCCAACCTTTTCCTAGAACAAACACTGAACACAAGGTATTTACAGCAATAAAAGCATCAGTCAGTGTTGCCTTTTCATGGCTGGCCCTGAAAACAATTGTAAACTCCAAGTGTGTGCTAAAAYCCCAAGTACTTAAGAAGAAAAAAGCTCATAAATTTTAGGACGTAATTACAGAAGTATGTTTTTTAAAGTGTTTTAATTGATGTGTTTGTTTCAAAAGACCTGCTTCCAAGCACATATAAAAAAACGACAGTTATTGGACAGTGAGGGTACAAACTCAAGTTTATACACTTATCACCRATGCAAAAGCTGCACAAAAAGAACTTGCTGGTATCACTGAAGCAGAGTCACATCAGAATTGGGGTAAGTTGGGTTATGGTTTACCAGACCATTTCCCTGAGCTAGTCAGACTCCTGGTTCACCCCACTGGCTATGGAAACAGTGGGTTCATGGAGTAGCAACTGCAGATAGTCTTTTGCTCTGTAACCAACTCCACCCCAATRCAATATGATCTTTATCTGCATGTCYATGATGTACTCAATGACAAAATAGGAATTGAAGGGGAAAAGCAAGTATTAATTATGTTTCTAATTTATCTGCAATCTTACACGGAATTGTCACTTCCACCAAAGGGATCTTAATTCATCCGAATACAAGACTTCATATAGGTTGMTGCAGGGAGGCAGGGAAAGGGAGGGAAATGTAACTTTTATTCCATTGATTTTTGCCTGGAAAAAACACCAACACAAAGATGCAAGCTCTGCTACTGTGCCACTTTGAAATCTCTGTTCCAAGTGCTGCTTCAGATTAGGCTCTGATAGGAGAGCTTGGCAGCCAGAGTCTCATCCTGACACCTCTCAGCAAGAATCAGACATCAGAGCTGCACTTAAATATGTTCAGAAACTACCATCATTACCAGCTCATGCTGCTGAAATGAGTTTCACTTATCATTTTATCATTCCCTTACCATTTAATTCCTACAAGGTCACTTCTGTAAGCAAGGATTTCATCTTACAGAAACAGCAGTTCCAGCAGTTTGGCTTRTAAAGGAACAAAAACAACTGCTACACAAATCCAATGTCTTTTGAAAATATTTTATGTTAAAAATACAGAAAAATATTTCTTGTTCAAAGAGGAAAAATATACTGCRTGACGACACTGATCTAGGTGTGTTCGGAAGGTGCCTGTGGCTCCACAACCAGTCACTGGAGTGATGACCCAATTTGGCAGCTAATGGTTGTCTTTCAACTTCTCAATCATTTATCAAAGCCAGAATCATACTGTGACAAAACAGAAAACATGATACCAGTGGATTACTGAAGCATGTGCAAGTAGGAGCAGCTCTCACTGTCACAGGAGAGCTGCACTGAGAGAACCTGAAATAGAAAGTCAAGGCACCCCTGCTGTGCGCTTTGCTTAGGATGACAAGGGCTGCAGAAGGAACGGCAGCTCTTCCATCTTGGAGTAAGTGGCCCTACCACAGAATACATCTACTTGTAGCTTAGCAAGATCAACTTCAGTTTTTAAAACAGAACTTGTAAAATAAACTTGTCCTTGAGAGTATTTCCATTCTAAACAGGCCACTTACTATAGGTGCTGAAAGCATGTCACTCTTTACATTGTACTTGTGGGTTTGAGATKAGGGAATAGCCTGAGTTTCCAAACAGCATTTGATCAGAATAAATAAAGGCATTTGATGAGCCCACAGATAGTTGTCAAAATATATTACTGAGGCTTAGCAGGATGCAAAAAGATAAGACATGAATACCAGCAATTAGACCGGTGGAGTAGAGGAGATAAAAATAGCTGGCAGCCAATTCCTTTGTTCCTTGGCAGCAATTTTTGAAACTAACCTGTAAAGGTACATGAAGAAACAGAGCAGGTGAAAGCCCAACTTAATCATGGCTTCTTTCATGTGTGATTTCAGTTGTCCTCGGTTATGGATTTCTGTGGGATCAAATACTCCCATGTTTCCACTTGGCACCATAATGTACCTGAAAGTTTAAGAACAAAAAAAAAAAAAAAAAAAAAAAAAAAAAAAAAAAAAAAAAAAAAAAAAAAAAAAACCAAAACACAAACCACATAACAAAACCCAAAAATGTAGTAATTGAAACATTAGGGAGTGTCAGGGCAAGAGAAGCGGCAGCACTTGCTAAGAAGGGACTTTCATCTAAGGAGTTGTTTCACAATTCAAAGTAAGGAAATTCTGGATATTACATCTATTCTCTGCTATTACAACCCACAAACAAAGAACAAGAAGTACTAAGAACAGCAGCCTGGCTTCCCATGTGTAAACGGGAGTGATCCCAGSTAACAGTCAATTCCAGTTCATTTTAATTGCTGTTCACAGTTACTTGCTGTCATGGGGAAAACAACCACCCATGGTGGAAAGATGCATTAGATGAAAGGGACTAGAAAAGACTTAATTTAGCTAGGAATCAGTATTTATTTAGCAAAAAAAAACCTTACATAAAAAAATCAAACTCCGGTGGTCAGAATGAGATGCCATAAGCCCAGGCAAAGGATCTGTGTTATTATTCCTGTCTTTGTCACACCATCCTGGGACACCTCTGCACAGAAACTGAGGCTGACAGGGTGAGCTGGGCAGAACTGAAATTGTCAAGTTCTGCTGTCCAAACCCACATGAGAATAAAARTTGAGTGAAGCCAAGTGAAATGTAAGCCAAGGAAGCATAAAACCAGCAAACCAAATGTTTATGTCCTGTGACAATTCAGCCAGCAGCATGTTCTCTTGTCAGAAGCATTTCTCAAGAGAGAACATGTGAGCACATGAAGKTCTCACTCCAGGTGAGCTCAGGCTAGAACAGCGTCACCATTTCACTGAGATGTTTTACAGGAACTTTACCTTCCTGGAATCAGACTCTTTCTATGCAATCAATGGAATCTATTATAGTCTTTCTACAGGAATTTTACTCAGTCCTGAAGCTGGAGCAAAAACATGGTCTCTAAACAGAACACTTTTAAAATTTTTTTTCATATACTCAAATGGYACCTCTTGTACTCCAAAAAGCACTTCCTCACATCTTACAACATTAATTTCAGTAACAGGAGGGGAAGGAAAGGGAACGAGCAACAGGGAGGTTTTCTAGCAGCAGTAGGCAATTGGGGGAAAAAAAAGTTCAGACCACAGTAATTGTTTTTCATAGAGGCATTAAAAAGTACTGTAGTGCTTTTTACTTGACTAATATCAAAGACAGTTGTGCCCCATTAAAAATAGTTCATGTTAAATACAATTCCAGTTTTAATTTCTCTTCTAAACGTGAAGTTTTGAACAATTGTTCTGCTTTTAGTATTATAACACAAATTATTATCCATTTCCTGGGAATGGAATGCATTTTATTGGAATAAAAGGAAGAACGTTTCCTGTACCAATTTGTGCTAGAAACAGAATGCATAATTTTCTTATATGTCTGGTGTATGACTGTCATAAAGACAGCATGTATTAATTTTGGTTTTGAAAAAGAATGATAACACTTAAATGATGCAACTTAACTGCATAAGCTGTGAGGCATTTTTTYCAAGAGGCCCACAAGGTAGGACAGCCTGTATTATATACCTAAGGAACTGAGCCATATATACAATTCTGCTGGATGCTGACAAAACCAGCTCAATCCAGCTGTCATATTCTACACAGCAAAAAAACTTCAGCAGCAAACAAGGAAACTGTCAGCTTTAATAAATATACACATTAGTGCCTCCAGTGGAAGCTGCTACCACAGCAACAGGACACTTCCCTCTAGATTTCCAGTTTCTAAAGGGAAATTTTTTAAAGTTCTGGCCAGAATTTTCACTAAATTGTGAAGATTTTTTTTATTTTTTTTTTCCTCTTTCAGTTTTATATTCCTAAAGATATGGCAAGAAYGTCATTATTTGGACCTATTCTCTCAAGGACATCTATATAGCAAAAAAGAAAAAAGTTGAACACTTCCCTTAGTGCTTTAAAACAAGGAGAAWGTGAGACAAAACTGTCTCATTGGAGAACTACAAAATTCATCAAAAAATAAACTAAATATCATCTGAGCATGCTAAAAAAGAAGAGCCAATAGGATGTTGCAATAAATATGTTGCAACTTTGAAAGTCTGCCTTGATGCTGTTTTTGACCAATTTATCCTTCCCAGGATTTGTTTCAGATACCCCTTCTGCACAAAACCTCTCTYCTCTCGCTAAAATCTCTAAGAGATTTAGTAAATTAAGCCAATACTGCCTGTAGCTGCCATGTAATCACTGGGATTAAGCAGGCTTTAAAGAGAAGTGAATAAGGGAAGAGATTATCCTACCTTTCTCTCTATCACTTACACTGCAAAACACAGACTTCTTGAATCTCAATAAATTTTTTTTCTGTATTTCTAGCCCCTCTTTTACTTTGAGCCCATTACTCCTTGTCCTGTCACTATAGTACCTGATGAACTGACAATGCTAAACACAATKCTTGCTTTTGCAGGCCTTCAACTCTTTCATTAGAGATAGAATAGTCCAGGCAATTAATGTGAATAAAACTCCTTTTTCCATAGAAGGAAGGCAGATTAGTGATACAGGCTTAATATTTTGACTTCTTACTGCCTGCACATCTAAAACTAAGGAAACAGTCCTGTATTTTTAGGATATTCATGATATTTATGCATGTAGGACATATATAAAATAAGACCTATCAATACAAAACAGTCAGAGCTTAATGCCTGAAATGTAGAAGTAGAAATAATTTCTCTTTTAAAACGCTCTGATCAGGTTTAGAAGGGAAGGCAGGTGGCTACTTTAAAAATTAACCTSAGTGCATTAAATGAATTAGCAAAGTGGTGACCAGTACAGGAAATCTTCATAGCTTCAAAGAAAATACATTCTGTCTGCAGTCTCTGCAGTCTTGCCTAAATGAAACATCAAACCCCAAATTTGCCAGCAGATTCAAAATACTGGTCACAGTGGGTCACATTTGTACTTAGAGGTGGCCAGACAAAAAAAAAAGAAAGGCAAAATCATGCCCTATGTGTGTATTTAAGCAATGTTTGTTTATTAAGCATGAAGTTATACAGTCTAACGTTACTCCAGCTTAGAAATATTTAAGGCTTTGCTGGCARTTCTGTAGAAAACAAGGGTGATAGAGATCAATATTTCAATAGCATAGCTATTTTGCCCAAGAACAACCGGTTATCAGTACAGAGATCCTCAACTTTGTTTTAATGAGAGCTATGAAACTTGTTTAATTCTACCAGCAACTCAACCCATCCCTGCAAATAGTTGTTCTGCTCACACCAAATGATATCAGGTATAAAGAACATGATCGATAGCCCCAGTGTTGCCACATGGAAACCCCTCCTGACAACGGAACCATTTCCAAGGGTGCCAGCCCAGTGTACAAAAACCAGTAAAATTGAAAGCCAAAAGTCTGCCAACATTCCCAAATATAAACTGGCAGGATGGAGGGCAAAACCCAATGCAGGTGAGGGGGAGAGACAAGTCAGTAAATGAAAGAGGGTGCAGAGGACAACACTGTACCCCCGTGGTTTTACAACCATCAGCCATGCCAACCTAAGCATTTTTATGTTGATAGCACTATCAGGCACAGCATGAAAACATTATCRACTCTGTTGGCAGTACTACTTCATAATCCCAATTAATCTGCTATTATTTCCTATGAACTTGGGAATGACCCACAAATCGAGGTCCTGGGCCCTAAAGAGAGAGCAAGCAAAGGCCAAAAGTTTCATATCCTTTACACTGCTGGGTTTCTTATTATTTTAATGACAAGAAATCATSTTTGATCAATGAAGACTGTTAGCAGCTCAAGAGCACAATTGAAATATCACACTAGGATATATTATTTATCTTTGTACTACACTTAAAGCTAAACTAGAAACAGTGTTTTAAAAAAAATCCTCAAACCCTTGTGCAAGTGCACTTACCTATATATATTCCATGTTGCCACTGGCAGGTTAAGGAGAAAGATGAACCAGTGCAATGAAATAAGCATTAATACTGTTACAACAGCATGGCCAATCACCTCAGGTACTACCCACTGTAAAAATAGAAAAGAGAAAAGTTACATGCACAAATATAAATTCCTTTATGAAAAAGACATCTATTTGGGATTATAATCTGATTATAATCACGTAAAATCAGAAAAACTGAAGGCAGAGGTACATGATTCCATCAGTGTGGAGTAATTAATACCTTCAGGCAGATTCCACACAAGTAAGCAGAAATCAAGCCCTAAGATATTGTAACAGAGGTGTTTTATCCAGGCATTACAAACATTTCTAGAGAGCAGCACAGYATCTGTGAACACAGTCTGAACGCAACTGTACTACTCGAGGTTTCAAGAAAGAAAACCAAGAAAATTCTCAGTGGTCATTTGAAATCACTGCAGAGAACAGTGGATTCAGGAATTCAGATAATTAAAATCTAAACAGCCCCMGGATGCACAAACAGCCCCAGGCTTGGAACAGATAAGAAAGCTGATCGTTATAAAAACTGGCAGAGTTAAATTGGGTCAGGCCCTGGCAATTACACATTTTTAGCTTGACAGGATCCTGTCCATTCTGTCTCACATTAAGAAACGCCTTTAAATCAAAGTCAACACATCCATGGGAAGGCCACATTGATTTAATGCAAACAGTTTTAGGCAGATTAGTTTAAAATGGTATTTTTGTGACAGAATTTGCTGGAAGATGGATATTCAAAAATAGACAAGCAAGCTGAAATAAGGGATACATGCAAAATACTGCCAATCAAGGCTACTCAGACACCAGTTACACCCCAGTTATTTGCAACGCAGAGGTGAAGGATGTGGTTTTCTCAAACCACAGTAAATGCAAAGAAGAATGATTTACTTTATTGAGCTTGGAGCAGCACGATCTAGCGTTGATGTAGTCACATTCCAGATCTGATAGTGTGATTATCTGATGTTCAAGATAAGGAAATATTGTATATATTGTATAGTATTGTATTGTAAGAATACAGAAAGCTTTACTTTTAGCCAATAAACTAGGGAAAACCCCCAGTGCCCAGCTTTTATTGCCTTGCTCTAAGCTGGTCTGTGAAAGGTATGTATCAATTCATTACAACTYACTCCTATTTTAGATAAAAGGCTTGGCCACATTTTATTGTCAGGCCAAGTGATTTTATTGTATATTCCCAAGGGCAACTGTTGCACAAGGGCTAAAGTTCGGTTCAGCCCTTAAAACACATCAGGGAGGCAAACTCGGTACTTTTAGAATCAGAATTGTTACTAAAACCCTAAAAGAAAACTTAGACAAAAGAACAAGTTAAAGCGCTCTTAAACTGTCCTCACAAACTTGCGCAGCTTTAAGGAGTCAATCTATTTTTTTTTAACATTTGCAACAACTGTAATTAATACTTTGCTCTTAAAAAAGAGGGTAACACCATTATTGAATGAACTGAAATACGAATATTTCAGACAGAAAAGTCCTCTCAAAAAAGGATTAGGATGCAAGTGTGCACCTCGTCGTGCTGTGTCCTAAGCTCATAGTTCTTTTCTCCAGAGAAATGAACACTACAAGATTCTTTTCCTATTCCTAAAAAATGGAATTAATTTTCTAACAAACAGCCTATCCTTCTAGGATGCATTTCTTTCGAGTGTTCCTRTTAGAAGAACTGGGTAGWSTCTGAAAARTCCCRCCAGGATTGAAAGAGTATGAAAGCCAGGTCTCTTTTATTGAGAAGAGCAAGGAAAAGAAGTCAAATCTGTGCCTTTACGCTGCAACAAAGCCAACCAGCAAAGACTGCGGGGCCAAGCCTCTAACAAAGAACATGGGAATCCTGCTTGCCGAGGAACTCGGAGCCCCACAGCTACGAGCGCACCGTTAACACCGAGCAAGGCGCCCCAGCATYTCAAACACTGTTGGCCGCACTCTTTAGGCCCGTGCAGCTCCCGAGCACCAACGCCGGGCACTCGCTCCYTGTGCCGCGCTTGTGCCTCCACGGCCCCGGCCGCGCCCGCCCATGGAGCCGCAGCCCCGCGGAGCGAACGCGCTCCAGGGACCGAACCGGAGCCGTCCCCGCCGGGCGCTGCCGCCGCTCCACAGCCCCCGAGCCCCGCGGCCGCGGCCATCACCCAGCGCAGGCCCCCCGCCCCGCCGCCCTCAGCCCACCGGCCCCAGCGGCGCCTCAGCGGGCCCGTCCCTCCCCGATGACCGTCCCTGCCCGCCCCGCGCCAGAGGAGCAGGATACGAAGTAGACAGAGAGGAAGATGAGGGCGCAGCAGTCGATCARCGAGAAGATGAAGACCACCGACTCCATCCCGCCGCCGCCGCCGCCGCCGCGCCCGTCACGCTCGGGCCCTCCCGGCCGCCGTAGGCTCCGCCCCGCCCGGGCGCGCCCGTGGCACGCTGGGAAATGGAGTCCCCGCCTCAGACCGGTGACGGCCATGCGGTGTCGGCCCGGCCGCGTCTCCGATCYCCGGCTGAAGCAGCGGATCAAGCAGGTACCGCCCGCCCGCCGGGGCACCCCGGCACTCCCGGTACCCCGCGCACCGACAGCCTGCCCGGGGCTCATGTGTTCCCCTGTGGCTGAGGGGCCCAGAGTATCCGGCCCGCTCAGGGGCAGGAGGGGACCAAACCCCAGGCCTGCCTCTGAGGGCTTTAAAAAGGCTTTAGAAAGGGCTTTTTGTATATTTTATTTTTATTTTCTATTAAATCGTTTTGTTTTCTGTCATTCTTCTCTCCTCTTCAGTAGCTTTGATCTTGAGGCTGGCTCCTGCATCAGATGTGAAAAAAATAGGGCAAAAGCAATATACTCACATGTGTAAATAGATATGTGTGTGTGAGTGTGTGTGTATATATATATATATATATACACACGGTGTATATGTGCGTATACACAAATATATGTAGATATATAGGTTTGTGTATATGTATGTGTATGAAAATACGTGTGTGTACATGCATATTTATCTATATATTTGAAACCTTAGGAAGAATTTTTTCACAGTGTGATTGGACATTGGGATGGGCTGCCCGGGGAGGTGATGGCCTCGCTGTCCCTGGAGGTGTTTAAGCAAAGGCTGGACAATGGCACTCCGTGCCATGATGTGGTTAAAACGGTGGWAATCAGTCATAGGTTGGACTCGATGATCTCAGAGGTCTTTTCCAACCTGATTGATTCTGTGATATTGGCAAAGGATGTTTGTRTTTGGAAACGTACAGTGATTTTATTGAATGGCTGATAAAAGGGGAAAATGGTATTAMTTTCCAAATACATGTGGGAAGAATAGGGAAAACTGTGATTCCTTCAAGCAGCACAGTGCTGTGTCATRTGTTTTGATAGTTTATAATGACTTGGCACCTTGAACACCAGTTTTCTGAGCCTCTGTAACTCCACTTCTAATTCCTTAAAATGAGAGGASCTGCTTGAGGGAACTTGCTTGGTTTAATTCACAAGATCACATTGAGTGTCTTGACTACTCCAAAGAGGAAAATTCAGCTGGGTTTATGGTTTGATGGCTTGTTGTTTCTTGCAGGGCAGGAGCTGCCCATGGATGATGTGAAGTGTAGCATAATTTTAGAAGCTAAATCTGTATTCAAATTGACTGTTTTATATGGAGTTATTAATTTAAATGAGACTTCAAAATTCTCCCTACTGTGGTATTTGTAACACCATATCTTTTAGGGGGATTCTGTATTTCTTTCCTCCTTTTAAAGAAGGAATCCACCTTTACGTATCAAAAGTTCTTGCTCCTGATTTGSATAGTGAGGGAAGAAAGCAAGTGGAGTTCAATTGTACATGAAATTTAGTACATTTTCTTACTTTCCCTGCTTAAAATTCTTCATTTCAGTATCTTGCAAGTAGTAAGTGTGGCCAGTATGTTGACATTGGAATTCTAGCATCTGATTTGCAGAAAACCTACAGGTGAGCCAAGATTTGTCTTCTTATATTCTTTTTTCACTGTGTAGAATGTATTAGTTTGTTATTTTGAATTCATRTATTTTTAATAAAAGTTATCATTTTCTTTATGTTAATTTCATTGTCATTTGTTGAGGTTGGTTAAAGCAGTAAGATTGTTTTCCCTCCAATGTTTCCCTCTACTGATGTATSTAGTGACTTGTATTTTATTAATACATTGTCATTACAAGATCTGGTTGTGTTTATGGGTTGATTTATTTTTGTTTTAAATAAAGAGCTAGAGATGCAGTGCAATATGTTGAGATTTACCCCAGTGAGTTTAAAATATGAGGGAAGATAACAACTCAGTGGACATAYGGGGGGAGATGCAGGATCCAGTAAGACATTTATACATTGCTTGGTTGCTCAGAGGACAATCACATTTTCACAAAGGTAGTTTTTAATAATAGCCTAAGAATTAACTYCCCATGTACTTCTTCTAGTGTGAGTGACAATATATTGAAGGAAAAATCAATTGGTGTAACCTGTTATTTTGTTTTTTTTCAGTGTTGATTATGGACGAAGAAAAAGAAATGCCTTTAGAATACAAGTTGCAAAGGGTAATTCTGTTAATATTATTCAAAGATGCCATATAACTTTTGGCTGTTAATTCTTAACATGACTGAACTTTTTCTTTCAGTATTTGAAATAATCAGTAATGAAAAAGAACGTGAAGATTTGGCAGTTTTAGAATCTGATCATGTGGCAAAAAGAGCAAGACAACAAGAGAAAAATGAGTAAGAAGAATTTTTATTACTAGATTAACAATGCCATTGCTGTAATTGTTTCTTAAAAGCTTTCTCGTGTTGGTTTATTACATTTTGGTAGTTTCAATATTGCAGGTACATCCTTGGTTTGCCATGTTTGTTTTCTTCAGAAGTTTCCTGTAGTTGTTGGAAACCCTTTTCTCATAGAGGACAAGCAGATAGTAGAGCCAATAACGATTTCTCTGGTGTGGGGAACACACAAACCGTGAATTAGTGGACATCCTTACAGCTTCCTTGATAGTTTTCCACATAATGCCCTGTTCTTCACGTGTTTCAGTTCCTTAATTTTGTTCTTAATCTTTCTTGGGTGTGAGAGATACTGTCACATCTGAGAAATAAAACGAAGACAGGCTATTCAGAGTAAATCACCAGTGGATATGAGATTGAAATGAAGATTTCTTGACTCTTAACCCTGTGCATAGTCTCATGGAGCTCTGTTTTTGCTAACCTGGGCTAGATGCTAATGATCTCACAGGAAAGTAGGACACTGTCAGAAGGATTGGTCTAGTTCAGCAGTGATTTGCTACCACTTCCTTTGGTGAACTGGATCAGAATGAACTTACATCACCTTTTTATGGGTCTGTCTTTCAGACAGATTGACAAGCTGATCCAACTCATCACACACTTGGAAAGGATGCATTTTTTAGTTTTTTATAGTAGATGATTTAGAGCACAGGAGTCAGGGATTTCTCCCTGGCCTTAGGCTACATATCACGGTTATGGGGAACCACATTGTGGAAATTGCTTTTGTTTTATTTTATGCATGTTTCACTTGCAGTTCTGCTTGGATTAATTAATGGTTTTTGTCTTCCTTCCATGTTCAGGAYTACCGGAAGTGGCACAGATGACTCTGATTTTGATGATTATCCAGAAGATCTAGTAAGTTGTGTTTTATTATGATTGTATTTGCAGAATATATGATTCTAAGTTGTGAAGTTGCACTTAAAGAGTTTAAAAAGGGGAGATAAAGATAAGGTCTAGTAAGAGCAGGCAGTTCCAACTGAGAGCTGAAAGGAGGCTGTTTTCTGAAGAAAGAGGAAGAGGAACTTGTGGTGGGGAATCACTTTTGGGAAGGCACCCTGGGGGCCTGAATGACTTGGCTGTCAAATGAATGAAGTGATTGAAGGAACCGACATCTCCCGACTACTGCCAAAAGTGGTGCCTGACCATTAACAGGGTCATTCCAGGGTGAATTGCAAAGGCTGCTGTCCCTTCAATCAGTAGTTTTATATGCAGTCATTTAATTTGCAGAGGAGTGGTTGGAAGATGCATTGCCTATATTCTCCAGCAGGGGTAAATTATGTTTATGGAATAGTTTTCATTAGCCTCAGTATAAATTAACCAAGTTATAACTTGTCCCATGTATTTTCTTTATAAATCTGCAGTCTACAAATCATATGAACAGTTCCCTGYTGAGCTTATACAAGAAAGGAAATCCTGACTCTGTTCCAACCACTCCAAAAAATGACCCAGTGGAAACCCCTCCTCCTGAGAGAACAGCGCCTCAAACAAGCACCCTCACATCAGCAGCAAGAGGTGAAAGATGGATCTCTGATGGTGGCTGGTTCATTGACAAAACTCCTGATGGGAAAGACTTTTTCATTGACCTCTCTGAGGATGAAGGAGAGGAAAAGAAACTGATTTCTGAGGTACTGTGTTTCACAAACCCAAGGTGTTTTAAGTAGATGTATGAATATAATTGGCCCATTTCAAGCATGTTTATATGAGAGGTAGACAATTGCCAAATAATAAGTTTCTTGCAGATACTTTTGAGGAAAATGTAGTGCTCAATAGTAGGGAGGCCCATMTTAGTGCCCATGCTGAGAGAAAGATGAATGGAATGTAGTTGTTACTTATTGTATTTGCTGGTGACCAGCCTACCTGGCTTGTGGCTTGCTGTAGTCATAGCAGGTGGTCTTCCTTAGTCTGTGGTAAAGTCTTAGTGACCCTGGGGAAAACAGGAAAGTTCTTTTTATTTCTTTTATCTTGTAATAGCCCTGCTCTCAGGTGCAGTTAACTTGTGTTAGCACTGGATAATATTTTCTTACACTMCTTTGTGACTTACTAATAATTAAAATTGTTTCCAATGCAGTAAATACATCCATACAGTTTTRTTCATCCCCAAAGTGGATTGTTCTGTGGCTTGCAAATAACTAGTGTCTGATTTTGATTAATGCTTTTGAGGGGGTTTGTTTGATTTTGTTKGKTTYYTTAAGAAAAAGGCAAGTCCTAAGTACAAAAAAAAAGATTTTCTACAAAAAGAATGGGTTAAATTCCTGCCTTGCTTGTCTTTATTCATATGATATGTATAAGTCAAGAATCATAAACTCRTGTTTTGTTAAGTATTTGCAGAAGTTCACTGACTTGGAAGGTTTTGTATGTATAACTCTGGGTTTATGTCCTAGAAATCAACAGAATTTTCTGTCTTGGARAGTGAAAGAAAGAAGACAAAGGGAAGGAGAGCAAAAAGGAAAAAAGAAGAATTTCGAGATGTAGATGGAGAAATTGAATCCATRTTACGTAAGAAAGGTAAGAAGTTCTTTTTGGTGTGTTACTCCAAATGAAGAGATGGTATTAGACAAGGAATCTGTTACCAGAGAATTCTCTGATGTCCAGATAAGTGACATCAAGCAGTTTTTAGAAGAAATTTAATACAGTAAAAATGTTGTTATAAATATTCTAGTCCTGTGTCTACTATTAAAAAATATTACTCTGTGTCAAAAATATTACTCTGTGTCTTAAACTAATTGTTTTACTGAGTACCTTTCTGTTTAGTGTTAGCAACTACATTTACACCATGTCTAAATATGTGTGACTTTTCCATTTAACAGTGAGAAGTAAGGGATCRGAGCTTTACCACCCTTCAGTGAAGTTTGAGGATGTGGGAGGCAATGATGAAACATTAAAGGTTAGCTAAAATTCTATTTGTGGCCTACAGGATGCACTGAAGAAAATGTGTCATGAAAAATGACAGAGAAGTAATATTGCAGAATTCATCTGTGTGGCACTGAGAAAAGCTGCTTACACCAACAGCAACAAGGCTGTTATTTTTYCTTTGATTAATCTTTTTGTAAGCAGTCACTGAAATCAGATTGATAAACAGAACTTGTTTAATTCTACCCTGCCTATAATAGTAGCAGTCATAATACTGATTTCTGCGATTTAAATGGAGCTCTCTCTTGTTCTTTACAGGAAATATGCAAGATGCTCCTTCACATCCGTCATCCTGAGGTCTACAGCCACTTAGGAGTGGTTCCACCTCGGGGCTTCCTTTTACATGGCCCACCAGGATGTGGGAAGACACTGCTGGCACAGGCAATTGCTGGGGTGAGATGGCTTTACATTTCCAGCTTCTTCCTTTTTTGAGTTACATTTAGAGAAAGGGAGAATAATCTTCCTTCATAACAGACTAGAGCTTTTTACTTTAGCTATCCTGTGATAGTCTGAAATACGTTAATCTTTACTTCTTTTGTTTGAATTCCATCTGAATCTTCATGTGATAAAACCTCATATGTAAAGAAGAGTCATAGTGACAAGGTTTTATGTTTCACTTAATTGTTTTGAGGCATTCCCAGAAAAGAGCAATGTAGACACAGGTGCTGAAAAGGGTATAAATGAAAGATAATTTTGGTTTCATTTACCTCACTGTTTCAAGTTTAGAGTCAACATTACCACCTTTTATGAGGCATTCCATTGATTCTATTGGGTGGCATCTGTTAAACAGCTGATTTCTGAATTCCAAAACTGGATGTTGCCTTGCCTGTGTCAAACTGAGCATATGGCACTATTGGTGTTAATAGTTTGGGATGTGGTGAAGATGCTGTGCCACTGTTTCTGTTTTGGATATAAATCTAAGGACTCTCTAGGGCTTTCAGTGATAACCATGGACATTTCTTTTTCTTTAATTAGATTGTTCCTTAAATGTCACTGATCATAACCTCAARTTTAGATTAGATACACTTTTGTAGTGCAGATAAAGAAACTACTGATGTTTTTTCCTTAAATGTTGGTAACACTCTTCTGACATGTTTCAAATGTTTTAATTAAAAAGATTTAGGTGTTTTCTTTCTAATGTCTCATTGTAAAAAAGTATCATTGAATGATTCAGTGATATTTAATACTTCAGTGGGTATTTATAACCTAGAAGGGTTCTGCATTTGAGGAAAGAAACATGTCACAAGTGAAAAACTTTAAGGTGAAATAACTCCAATGACTGCTTCTTAAATCATCTTTTCTTTAAAAAGAGATTTTCAGTAGTGCTGTTTTAGTCAAATTATCTTCTTTGAGCACCATGGTGTCTCTGGTGGCCTTGAGTTGCATAAATTTGGGTTAGTTTTCTTTTATATGTTAAATTAGGGTTAGTTTTCTTTTGTATGCACTTCAAAGTGCTTGAAATAGGCTGCAATAATCTGTAGTACTACTGTGCTACAGCCTATTAAAGCTGCAGTTGCATTTATTTATTTTTAACAGCAGAAAACTCTTGAGTGAGAGCTTTACAAGTGTCTMACTGCGCAGTCCTGCTCAGATGTTTCTGGAACAGGACTCTGAGAACCAAAGCTGGTGGGGAATACCTTCCAGACTGCTAAGCAAAGCTTTGTTAYCCATTTTAAGTTGGAGGATGCCCCGTATGTTTTTTAAAGGTTCTTTAAGATTTAGTCCTGAGTATGTAATTTGTAGTTGTAAAAGATGTCATATTGAGAAATATTTGTCCTCAAGGACAAACAGCATTTCCAGCCTCTGGATACGTCATACAATATTCCTTGTCTCTTCCAGGAACTTGAGCTCCCGATGTTGAAAGTGGCAGCAACAGAGATTGTGTCTGGAGTGTCAGGGGAATCTGAGCAGAAACTGAGGGAACTGTTTGAGCAGGCTGTGGTAAGAGAGMCACTGAAATAGCACTGTGAATTGTCTTTTCCTTTGTAAAGATTTGTACTTTGWTGCTGTGGTTTGAATTTGAGTAAATATAAGTGAGTGAATCTTTATCTTGCTGCACACATGACTGGTCTCTCCTTCTGTGACCAGAATTCCATTGTACTGTCATGATGTCATAGARCACAAAGCTTACTATTCTGAAGTCTTGACAAAAGATAGTTCATCATAGCAATGTAAAGAGAGCAATATAAATTATTTGCATATTTGGGTCTGCTTGGTTTGTTATATTAAAAAAAATTAATAGCAGTTCATTATATTTTACAAGAGTTCTTTTGCTGGTTTTGCATGGCATGGAAATTGACTGAATGTGAGAGATTTTAGGCTTTAGGGATCTACGTATAAAGCAGAAAATTTGGAACAAACGTGATAAGAGTAGGAGAAAAGTTAGAGTTGGAACTTTGTTTCGGTGTGACTTCTGAATATAGTAGGAAGCAAAGAGAATGAGGCAGGTTGAGATAATTTTAATTTAAACAACTGCAGACTTTTTTTCTGGTTTCTGGTATGTGGTTAATGTTTTATTTCATGAGGACAGTTTTCTGCTTCTCACCTCTGAGAATGTTCTGGTTTTCCAACTTTATTTCATTTTTCTACTCTCCCCCACAACTGTATATAAGTATTTAGAGCATGTTGCTGTAAAAAAGAATCCTGAACAGGGARAAAGGTTGATTGTGAAGCTGTTTRTTATCTTTACAGTTCATATTAAATTTTAATTTTTAGAGAGCCTTGTTAAGAAGTTGTTTAGAATAAAGTTACATAGGTTGTGGCAAAGAGTTTCTAGAAATTAGGTCTTTTGTATGTGTAGTGATTGAGGATAGGTTGCTCTAATTTATTGTTACAGAAATAACATCTGTTGCATAAAATACGTTTAAAATAAAATCTCTTGCYTTTCTTATAGTTTCTCACATTCCCTTAGTTTTCCCTAAGTTCTTTCAGTTAGTTTTCACAACAGTTTTTGTGCAGGGGAAAAGAGCCTATTCCTSGTTATTCAGATGCTGTGGAATCTTTATGGCCTTATCCTCTGTCACCGCGGGAAAGGGAATGACCACGAGATGGCGCAGCTGGTGCCTGGGAACGCCCAGAATGTACAACACGCGTTTTTTACATGGGACTTTTTTGGAACATTATTCCAGTGTTTTCCTTAAGTATTCATTTGTACTACTAGTGCTTTTTGGGAATATTAACAATCTGACATCAGTTAAACACCATTCTATTCGTTACACTAATTATTAATCCATATTGTTGTTGGCTTTTTATGAAGTTCATGGCATTTTAGAACACTTGTGGGAGTTTCTCACTGCTCATTTTTACTCTTTGAACATGGTCAGGCTCTGCAGTAGTCTTGAAGATCCATGACCTCCTACTGCTCCTTTTGTTTCATTCTGTGTGTCAGTAATACTTGCTCCTGAAATTCCACAGATCTAATGTCACTAACAAAACAAACAACAAACCAAACGAGACCTTTCTTGTGTGATTTTCGTTTATGGACTCAAGCAGGCAGTCACAATGGACTGTTTTCTCATTTAGAGAAAACATTAAGTAACGTAGAGGTATATTTAAATTTTGGACAGTGTGTAGAGACATTTTAAATCTCATGCCTTGATTATTCCCTAGCTTCAGCTCAGTGAAGTTTTACAGTCTGGTGGCTCTCTAGATAGTCAGCAAAACAGAATTGTTCCAGGACGTGTTGGTTGTACAGCAGATTTACAGGAATAGTTACAGATCAGAAAATCTGAAATATTTCTTTCTTGTAATAAAGAATGCTAAACAGGGGAGAAAGGTTGATTGTGAAGCTCTTTCCAGTTCATACTATGTTTAAATTTTGAGAGCCTTGTTAAGAAGGCTGTGTCAGTGTAATTTTGTCATGATTGTGAATTTTTCTTGTTCCTAGTCCAGTGCTCCCTGTGTCCTTTTCATTGACGAGATTGATGCAATCACCCCAAAGAGAGAAGTCGCATCGAAGGACATGGAGCGCAGGATTGTTGCTCAGTTCCTGACTTGTATGGATGGTGAGTTTCAGGAACAACTGTGCTAAGACCAAATTCTAATTATCAGACTCACYATCTGCTTTCTTTCAGTAGTGACTTTTGCTTACTCTAGAGGAGGTAGTGGCAATAATTTTTCATATTTTGACACAGTTTGCTTGGGGATTGGTGGGAAGATCWTAATAAAATTGAAGGCGTATTACTACAATATTTTCACAGTGGTCATTACAGCATTACTTGTGTAAACCATTACTTGTATAAACAGAAATAATGAGAAAACCTGTTAAATTTAATTAATAATTAATTAGTCTGTTAATTTTAAAAGTTTTGCTTGGTTGTGCAAAATGCAAGTTTTGGGTAATAGAGAAAGAGATGAACGGCAGTTCAGTGTGACTGTTGATCAGTTTATCTCTGCTGGGTATTATCATGCACTGCAGAAACAGAGTCCCACAGATACAGGAACAAAGTTGGGACAGTGAGTATGAGTACTAACTTCCTTCCTTCCTTCCTTTAGATTTGAATAATGTGGCTGCCACTACCCAGGTCCTTGTTATTGGAGCAACAAACAGACCTGACTCACTGGACCCTGCACTGAGRAGAGCTGGGAGATTTGACAGAGAAATTTGTTTAGGGATCCCAGATGAAGGGGCAAGAGAAAAGTATGTGTTGTGAAGTTCAAGTTTCTTTTTAATTCATTGATAAACAAGAAAATAATGTGTAAGTTAAYATACAAATGAAGGAAAAGTACTTTATTGTGTTTAGTTCTATTTGTGCATGTACACACCTTTGGATCAGCATACACTGAAAAGTTGCAGAAGATTTTAAATATACATCTATTTGTCTTGATAGCTGTGCCAACATTTGGAGTGATCTCCTTTCTTGTGTGCAGATCTGCTTTTTGCATTATGTTAATAGCTTTTCAAGTGCCTCAGCAGTACAGCTGATGGAGTCAAACTCATCTTTTCTCATGTTCAGGAAGTTAACATTCTGTCTTTGGTGCTCCCTATGTAATCATTAAATTAGGAACATAAATTAAGTAAAGTCCATTTGTTAGTCCTCTGAGCATATTCCTTAAGCAATAGGCCTGGGTTCTTCCATTCCATTCCTCATGGAAATACTCCAGTCCAGGCATTAAGCTGAGCTGCAGTCATCCTGTCTTGTGTAACTGCCCCTTTTTACACCAAGCACCTGTGACTGTCAGACTAGGTTAAAAAAAAAACCCAACCGTTTTTGTATTTTTAATTAAAAAGGAACTGCTACTCATTTTCACAACAGCAAAAAACACAGGAAGGGAAGTTTGAAAAACTTGCAGCTTATCTTATTATGGAAAGAAARGTTAAAGGATAAGTTTCTTCTAGCTCAAATAATCATATTTCTAAGTTGAAGAGGCAAACAATTCTGCTTGCAATATTGCTTACTATGTTGTCAGTGCTCTGGACRTTATTCTACCCTCGGGTTCCCCTTTGGGCATATCTCCATTTCTGTTTTTCTTCCCTCCCTTCTTCCTCCAGATTTACTGCTCAGTAGTAATTACGTTCCTCTGGGCTTTGGGCARGACATGCAGATGGTTAGAGGCAGGACTAAAGARTCRACTGATSAGAGTTGTGATTCYCTGATAGTTCCTAGRAGCATGTTRAAATGATGGTATTCCCAGAAATAGYGCTRTGTTGAGGGACASGAATAGTGAAGAGCAGAGCAATTGTAAGAGTGGAGTCACAGGCATTCATATTATTGTTTATGTTCTTGGAGGTGTCGGCTCGCAGGAACCATTGATTTTGTTTTCTTTTTTAAATTATTCCCCCTCCCTGCTTTCTTTGTTTTGTGGAAGGCATGGTGATGTTGATTTGTTCCTTTGTTTTAAAATCAAAGGGTCATATAGACCTTACAAGTCCTTAGAGTGTGCGGATTTACAGGATAAGTGAGTCTTGCTGAAGGCAGGATTTGAACTGCTTCATTTTGGTTCTGCAGCCTTAGCAGGGTGGAGTGAGATGAGAAAGCATACCTGGAGATCTTGCTGTACCTGGTGTTTTCTTGTGCAAATTCAGAATAAGCCATTTGAAGTTCTGAACTGTTTACACTTTGATTCAATTGATTACATACAGTGTTGTCAGACAAGTTGAAAGAATCTTGAGAAACAGGCTATTATCACAAATAAAGATTTAAAGGAGAGGTGATGGAAATTTTTAGTGGGGGAGGGAAACATGAAATACACTAAAATTTTAGAGTTTTGAATAATTTAATCRGTTGGGTTTTTTCCTTGTCATTTTTCTGTAGTTACATTAGTTGCTCTGGAAATAATTTGAAATAGTTTTTTTTTGGAAATAGAAAGTGGGTTACTGATCTGTACTTTGGTTTGTGCTGCCTTTTTGAAATACTTTCCCAGTGAAGTGTTAGTTTGCTGTTTTAAACAAGCTGATTTGATCCCTTTGCTCCGAGTTCTTTAGTGCCCGTGTTTGTGCAGTGACATTGGCTTTTGCCTTTTCTTTTCTTTTTGACAAGTTATGTAGTTTTCAGTAGGCTTAAAAGAGCAGCAAGAAATTTTGGTGGACCTTGAATGAAGTTTTTAAAACTTCAGCTGTGATACAAAGTGGATAAAACTCCCATCAAAAGAATTTTGAAGTGCAGCACTTCACTGTCAGTTACAGAGAGCTGTTTTGTGTTAGTGAGGAAACTGCCTAGGGAGGGGTAACTTTACCWTTTGGGTGAGGATGAGGTGACCCATGAGGTGTTAATAGAAGCCCTGTGGTGCCTATTGGAAGTTTCACTGGAGACCCAGGAGATATCTGCACTGACAGTGGTCAGGGAAAGATACTGAAAATTAAACCAGAGCTCCTCACACAGTCCRATTTTATTTGCTTCTTCCAGAATAGTTTGTTGTGGATGTTCTTCAATAAATAAATRAAAGTGGCATGGAACAGACAATGCAGACTTAGGTTGTTAGGAATACAAAGTTAAATGTATCAATGGATAACTTGCGTGCATCTCTGGGGTACACTCTGAAACCTAGTCTGTCAATTTTTAATATAAACTAAGGTTGGAAGAATCTGTAATATTTAGGTCRCCAAAACCACTGATTGGCAATGTCTGGTTGAGGCTGTTGGTTTTTRTTTTAGAACTGACAGGAAATTTATAGCACAGCTCTGTGTTTCAGTGTTGGTTACTTCCTATTTGGTGAGAACTTCCCACTGTACTACTTCAGCTCATATGGACTGAGAGAGACACTAAATGCTGTTTATTTTCATGTGAAAAGAACAAGTAACAGCTTTTTCTCCAGCTTTATCTTTCCTTTTTTTTTCCCCCTACTTGATTAGAATTCTTCAGACTTTGTGTCGAAAACTTAAGCTCCCAGAGTCGTTTGAATTCCGTCATTTAGCACGGCTGACTCCGGGATATGTGGGGGCTGATCTGATGGCCCTGTGTCGTGAGGCAGCCATGTGCACTGTCAACAGGATCCTCATAACATCTGAGCAGCAGAGGAGGAAACTCATGGACACTGGGGGCAACAAACCTGAAGGAAGCATGGGGATAGGGACAGACATCCTGGTGGAAGAGTCCACCAAACAACCAGAACTTCCTCCTAAGGTATGTGTTCCCTGAAGCCCAGGTTTTTAATATCTGAAGGGTTGAGCCATTTTAGAGTTATCAAAGTCACTGTTCATAAATTTTCAAATGTCCATGGCCRGCCAATGTAATACTAAATTTAGATTTAGCAATGTCAACTCCTAAGCCAGGAGCTTAACTCCTAATGACCCATATAATGGGTCTGGAAAAGTGAATCCCCAGCCCCAGTCCTCCTAAAAATTATCTTCATGTTTTATACAAGGTGGTTTTTTTCCTGGGATTTTTTTTGTTTTGTTTGTGCTGTGTTGTTTTGTCTTCTAGCAGAGCAGAGTTTAAAAGAGTGGCTGTATCTGTCTTCAAAAGTGTGTTGACTATAACAGAAGTTTAAAAATACCGGACTTGCACTGAATATTTTGCACAACCTTTTTTGCTGTGCCTTCAGTGAAATATCTATGATAATGCCTGGGGCTCTTCCCTGACTGATAGAGAGTTACAGAAAGCCAAAGTCTAGAAATACTTATGCAGTCTTTGTTTGCMCTCCAGCTATGTGATTATTTGAGGTAAATCACATGCAGTATCTGGTACATGTAGCAAGTTTCAAGGAAGAAATGTGCTGTTAATGAATGTGCAGCACAAGTGGAACTCTGTTGCAGAAAATAGTATTTCTAGTGCCAGAATTTTTCTTTGGCCTAAGTAACATGAAGGTGAGCGAAGCAGAACAATTTCAAGTTAGAAATCCTTGGTCCTACTTCTCTCAAAATTTGGAGTCTCTATATGCCTTCATTATGTGCAGGCCTCCTAAAGATTTGTSTGAAGATAAGTGGGCTTAAATGCACATTGTACTCAGATTCTGTTTTTAGAGGGACTGTCAAAGAGCACTGTTGCTGTGATTACAAAAATTAATGTAAAAAGCTGTAGTAAGCCTTTGTATTAATGTAACATAAGCATAGTGCTTATACTTCCCAGTGCTTCCTGGGGCCTGCTGTAGCCAAAAGAAAGTGGGGAGGGGCAGGCAGTTGCTGCTTTTATCAACATCACCATGATCAAAGGGGTCATTGAGAATGAGGAAATATAATCCTAACAAAGCCATGTTTTGATAGCTGGCAGGAGGTTGACATAGTCTAATATAGGGTATTGTCATTAAAACCCTTGTATTATATTTATAATGGAAAAATAAACATACAAAACCTTTAAAAATCATTCACACAATTCAAGTAAACAAACCCAGTGGTCTTGGCTATTTCAGAGTTTCTCTCAATGGTCTATTAAGAAGAGAAGGGAGGGCTTAAGATGACTATTGTGCATTCTAAGCACTTGTATTTCTTTGTGGTCAGTTGTAGAGCTATCCTAGCTGAAATTGATGGGAAGTGATACTTTTCCTATATACTCCTGTAGGAAAAATGTTGAAACTTAACAGAGTTTTTGCATTCATTTTTTTCTCCCTCTATTTTATAATAAAAATTCTGATATGGTTTTACTTGTAATACTTTGCTTTTGCTTTGATAATGCCTTTCTGTATCAGAATGGGGATGCATTATGTTSTGAAGATATAAAGTTCCTAGATGAAATATTTTCTCAGGTAGTTTCCCTAATATGGAACTGATTGGAGAAATTGGAATGTACCTCCCTGGGTCACTGTGGTCTGCAACATGGGGCAGTGTAGAAAAGCAYTACCCTGCCTCTCTATTCTGCTTGCCCAAACTTTGTCAGGGCCTCATTGCAAAACCAAGTCTAATCAGGCTGAGGAAATCAGTTGTCATGAAATCAGATTGTGTTAAACAAAAGTGGATATTTTAAAAGTGTATTAAGGGTTTATACGGAACKGAATATTTTGCAAATTGTTGGAATTGTGCTGTTCAGCAGTTTTTCGCTTTCTCTTGAAAGCAGTTTCTTGTTAAAAGCAGAATTAATACATATAAATAATACATATTTTGGCAATACCAGCATGGAAATAGCTTTCTCCTAGTCAGTGTGGGAGAATGAGTAGGCAGAACTGGAAGACAAAATACACGTGCTAGCTGAGTTTCTGTAGCATCTAAAATAAGATTTTAGGCTCAGCTCAGTGCTTTCAAACCTGTTAAATGTGCATAGAACTTTCCTGGAAGCTATTTTCGTCTGTAATAGTAATTTACATGTTTTATGTGTATTGTGCAATTGTGATTGATAGTTGAAGTATGGCTTTGAAAAAGCCCTTAAAATGGTTCTGAAAGTCTAACTCAGTTAAACAATGCTTTTCTCTCCCTTTCCATGTACCTTAAGGATGAATTGCAGAGACTTTTGGATCTGCTGAAGGAGCAAGACCCCTTGCCTGAGGAACAGCTGCAGAAGCTGTGCATTGAGATGAATGATTTTATTGTTGCACTGTCATCAGTGCAGCCCTCTGCCAAGAGAGAAGGCTTTGTCACAATTCCTGATGTGACATGGGCAGACATCGGAGCCCTGGAGGATGTTCGGGAGGAGCTGACTATGGCAATATTGGTATGTTGTAATCTTATTTCCAAAGGTCTTTTACACTCCTCGCTATGCAAGAAATAAAACTATGTTTGTTTTCAATATTTATTTAAGGTATAGTGATACTTTGCAATATCTTTATTTAAAACAGTCAYGCTTTTATAATTTGCTTTCAAATTTATTTCAAGTCTGGTGTATGTATTTAACATTTTRCTTTTTGTATTCATGCTTTTGGTGTGTTCATATTGCTCAATCTTGAAGTATTCTAAAAGTTTTGTACCACTAACTTTGGTTTTGCAACTGCCACACAGAATTGGAGACTACTTAGCTGGAAGGAAACTTAACATTAACACCTTTAGGTAACTTGGGTTAATAAAATATTTTCCTSTGAAAAATGATATTTCTCCCATTTGGGGTAATTAGTAGTGTAAGAGACTAAGATGCTGATCCAACCTTTGTTCTTTTAGCCTATAAAAATTGGAATAATGAACTTGCTTATGATTTTTCATCCAACTGTAAATGAAATGAAATGTTTCATGTTTTCTTTATGCCACAATTAACTATAATAATTTCTTTTTAGGCACCTGTGCGAAACCCAGAGCAGTTTAAAGCTCTGGGCCTGACTACTCCAGCTGGTGTCCTGCTTGCAGGGCCTCCAGGGTGTGGCAAAACACTGTTAGCTAAGGTAATGCATTTTCTAAATATGATTAAAAGCACTGGAGAATCTTCTTGAAATGGATGCTTTTGTAGGAATGACTGAGTCTGGATGATAGTGCCAGAAGCTGTGCTTTTGCAGCACTTCTCATCAGAAAATTGAACTTAGGCMTCTGTGCTCAGGTTATTTGATTTTTCATGTTGTAAAGTTACAACTTTTCTTGAATTGGGAGGGAATTTCTGCAAAAATTGAGGGAATGAAGTTGGTTAAGAAAACAGTATTAAAGATGAGAAGAAACTCTATTGCATAAYCACTTTTACAGGATATTTCAGTGTAACTAAATTATATTGCCATTATAAACATATTATATATTGGAAGTATTCTACACTCTTGTCTATATGTAACTTTATTTATCATGTTTACCTGACTGAAAATACTTTTGCTTTCCTTCTTGAGCATTTCAATTSTTACAGTCTCTTCACATAAATGCAGCTAGTTGCACAAATTTCAGATTGTTTCTGTCTTTATCTTCAGGTGCTCTTATGCAGTTGAACATCTCTTAATCTCCCATAGTTACTGGGATTTCTTCAGCTGGTGTTGGGGGTGGGGTGTGAATCTGGAGCTGCCTCATCAGAGAGAGAGAACACATTGCTAAATTCCCTGCTCCCCTCCCATTCTTAATTGCATGTAATTATACTTTCTACTGTTTTCTGTATTTTGGAAACAGTTGATTACCATGAAACATGATTACCATGTTTCTTCCCCTGTGTTTGTTTATCACTCCATGGACAGAATCCAAGCAGATCTGATAAATGTGTGCTATATACATATATATATATATCCATATATATCTATATATGTATCTGACTTTACCTTTTTGATAGGCTGTGGCAAATGAGTCTGGACTGAACTTCATATCTGTAAAAGGTCCTGAGCTGCTAAATATGGTATGTGCTAATCATTGGGGTTTTGTTATTTTAGGACTTCTTGTCCAAAATGTGGGGCAAGCAAAATTCCTGATAGTTGCACAATTGATACTGGTGCAACTGAAGTTGCCTTATTTAACCTCTCCTGAAAGATTATAGCAGTGAAGTTGTTCATGTGAAAAAAAAAGAGTCACCTGTGTAGCTTAAGTGTTTATCTTAGTTTAAATTACCTGGCAGATGGAGCCTTCTTGACTTGAAGTAGGGTTTCTGAATGACCCACTACATCCATCACTGCTTTTCTGTAGCATGTAAATTTTAAATGTCAAGAGGCAAGAGTGCTGTAGTTCAAATTTTTGATGCACTGGCCTAAGAAGTGCTATGATGTAACTTCAGCTCCTTTTAGAGTCAAGAGAATATGTTGAACTGAGCAAGGTGGCTGCAGCTCCTATCTGGGAAGGCCATAGCAGTTTTCTGTTTATCAGTAGTGTGGAAGCTGAACCAGCATACTGGATTTGACTGCTCTCTTCCCAAACATTTTTATATGTCTTTCAAGTACTGATACAGGCAGGAAATACAACACTTAAGTTAGTGAGAAGTCCTGCTTCCTTGTGGAATACAGAGAAAATGGTTGGCTGTGATTCAGAGACTGTGTTAACATATAAATTGTTTGTTTGTTTGGAAAAAATTTAGTGTTTGSATTCACAACTTCACAGCCCCTGTTCCTACAATTCAGCATTCAAARTGAAATTCTGGCTGACTTTTCAGTTCCCTACCACCAAGGCCYTGTCTTCAGGCAACAGCTCTATGAACTTCAGATGTTCATTGTGTTCACATTGCTCACTGGGTTTGTTTATGAACAGTTGAACAGCAGGGTCCTTAATTAAGACTGTATTTGTTAATTCTCATCACCAGAATGATGGCAAGTTAGATTTATTCCTCAGAAAGAAGGAATTCTATTAAACTCTGAATGTACTGCAAGTTGTCAAAAGTCAGCTAGTGACAATTAGTTCTTATGTAAATCATGATCAGTAAGGAAACAGATATAAGAAAATGTTATGAGGAAAAAAACTGATTGTTAGGTTGCCATTTCTCTCTTCCAAAGTCCCTTAAATAGCGTTTAAAATGACTGTAATTTTTTTCACCAAGCAAAWTCTTGATGTTTTACACTGTTTTAATGTCATTTGTCTTATTTTTTCAGTATGTTGGTGAAAGTGAACGTGCTGTACGTCAGGTGTTCCAGCGTGCCAGRAATTCAGCCCCCTGTGTTATATTCTTTGATGAAGTTGATGCTTTGTGCCCTCGGAGGTCTGACCATGAAGTGAGTCTGTCTTCAAATATCTCCATAAATAAATACTCTCAGTTACAGCTTTTGAGACTTTGCCAGAAAGGTATCTTCCAAAAAAAGCAATCCCTTGGGCTTTTTGTCATTTGAGGGAAAATATGTTGGTCAAGTTCTATAAAGCTTTTTTTAGTATACATATATAGAAAAAATATTCAGAGAAATCCAGGTTAAGCTATTGAGTTTTCTATAGTTAATGCGACTGTGACATTAACATTTAACTCTCAGTAGCTCACCTCCTGAAACTGTTGTGTCAGAGRCTTAAATATTTTAGAACTCTTTTTCCCTCCAAAAAATCATTATTGGGAAACATTTTGTCTTCTTGTTGAGGTAGGTGTCAGAACAACTAGTATAAGTATTTATATGTACTCCTTTAAGTGAGTCCTTTAGCTTTGATGGGAAAGAAAAAGTTTGCCACATGTTAAAATATGTGGCAGGTATGTAGATAGCATGAATTTGGGATGGAAACATGCTAAAAATGTGATAGAAGGAATCCAGAATGCAKCTACATTGAAAATGTGAAAAAGAAACCTTTTCTTGGAGTAGTATTTCAGTGCAGGGACTTAGTAGATCTTTTGTTTCTTTTACCTTGAAATATTCACATTCCCACTGTTTCCCCAATTTTGTTGACAAATTTCTCCTTTTAAAGTCAGGAGCCAGCGTGCGSGTGGTGAACCAGCTCCTGACAGAGATGGATGGGCTGGAGAATCGGCAGCAGGTTTTCATCATGGCTGCCACAAACAGGCCAGGTGAGGACCCAAAAGTCATAAACAAGAAATCAGATGTCCTTGCTTCTCTTCTAATGAGATGGTGTGTTCTTAAATATTTGGATTCTCTAACTAAGCCTGTTCTGTACTTAAAATTACAGTGTCTCCTCAGACCCAAAGCTTTTCTGATGAGTTATCCTGTTCCATATTCATGGAACAGTGTGAGATAAAGCAACCTCTTTAAAATGTGTCTCAGGTAGCACCTGGTACCATTGCTGTTAAAATACTTTGAAAGACCTTTGACTGCTTTGGATTATCTCCTTGGAACATAAAAGAAGAAAAGAAAACTAAAATTTATTTTCTGTTCAAAGCAACCTTACAGTTTTCTGCTATCTTTACTTTTATGGCTTTTTTTTTCTTTTTTGGCTTGAGACATCTGTGTCATGTTAAATCTTTTTTCCATTTCCTTATCTTTTGCTTCCTGGGCTCCATGTTCCAAACTAGGCTCCCTCAGGCTGAAGTTATTTTCCTGTTTCCTTGTGTTCTGTCCAGCTTCAATATTGACAGCTGTCTTTTCTCCCTCCCTGGCTCTTCTGTTTTTGATAGCTTTTGCAATTCCAGCAGCAGTTTCTTCATTATGAGCTAAACACTGATGTCTGCTTTACAAAARTCATGTATTTTATATGCAACTTTCTGCCTCCTTTTTTTGTTGTTTTGTATTGTGGAGAAGTCTTWTGTTTTATACATGGCAAGAAACTTGTCTTTCCTGAATTTTAATTCYATCTAGAAGTTGTGAGTTATAAGTAAAGAAATTTCTTGTCAGTTTAGAAAGAAACATGAAGATGTTGCACTTTCTTGGTTATGAGCATTTTTCTSAATATTGCAGCTGAAACCAAATACAGGGTTACAAGTCTGTCTCAGTAAATTCATACTGGTGTGGCTACCAAAATTTTGGAAAGAACCTTTGCACCTAGAATGAGTATTTGGCAAATTATTGTTAGCAGTGAGACAGTTATTTCATACCTGCATGTATTAAGTAAGGGCAAGATGTAGAATTTTGCTGAGAAATTACTTAACAGGGAAGAACAATAGCATGGCTGGTTTTGATATGATTTGGAAGATGAGAAAGTTAAAATCTTTGACATTGCTTGTGTACTGTAAATTAAGGAACATTTGGTCTGAAATCATCTAAAATAGGTAATTATGAGGTGGGTTTTTTTTTTTTTTCCAATGGTCAAAAGCTTTAAAAATTTGGAGGAAAATCTTCCTATCTCTCAAATTCTTTGCCCCATGACAGACACTCGGGCCTTCCACATGGTAAAGTATGAGGAATAGGGACTTAAATCTTTACCTGCATGTACAAATAGAGAGATACCTGTAGGACAAGCATAGCTTTTACTGGCTACTGTATTGAAATGATTCTCACAAGCAATTAAAGTTGTGGTGCCTGAAAATGTTTTAAAATCTTTGTACAAAAGATTTTTCTGTCATGGTTGTGAATAGAGGTGCTGCTCGGGCAGAGGCTTGTGTAATGTAAATCTAAATAATGTATGTGTCCCAGCAGAACTTCCTGCAGTCTTCCACTGGGCCAATGCTATGAAGTGTGAGATCYCATGGTTTTTAATCCATGTTAATATAATTTATTGGGGGAGAAAATGGCTTTTAAAGATTCTTCTTTTTTTAGAGTGATTGCATGTGTGGTRGCTTTAATAATTGGTTGCTGGTACTGTTCGTGACTGTTGTGTTTGTTGTAGCATTGTAGTCTGAGATCAYTGTGCAATAGAAAGAGTCGAAGTTATTATCACTGTTATTATTATTTTTATTGYTCTTATTAATAGTAGTTGCAATTAGGATAGCAGTGGCTCAACCACTTTTGCCATCAAGGTATGTTACTGGCACAGTTGTCCTAGTGAGGTGTTGGCACCTGGGACAAGGTATKATTGTGAAATGGTGGTGGTTTAAATACCCCATGGCTGAAGACTGCCTAATTCWCTTTTATAATGGTCTTTCAGGACTTGGAAGGCTCTAATTCCCATTTTGCCAAAATGACAGGMAYAATAGATTGGTTCCTTTGTTTATCAAATACAATCTGCAAATGGTCATTCTTATTCTGGCAGTATTGAAATAAGCCTTTGATGTGCCCTAAAAATCAGGATATTTGAATGGTTTTTGCATTTACTCAGTGACTTTAAAAGTCCTCTGTAGAGATTTCTTGACTCCTTCTAAATTAGCAGGGATGCAGTATTCCCAACTCAATCTCTTTCCACCTAAATGCAGAATCAATGTCAAACTTYGTCTGAAGAGGATTAAACTTGTAAAGCATTTAATACTGTTAGAGAGAGGAAAAAAATAGAAGCACAAGTATGTCCTGTTAGAACCTTTATGGGTCAGAAAAATTATATTCTTTTCCAGTCTACTTCCTTCCCCGAATCCAAGACTAAATAGTATATAACTGCCAAACAATAATACTGTTAAATAAAAAATAATTTCCCACAATTTTCAAATTATCAGTTTGAATTTCAGGATRSTSCTGCTTTCTGCTCTTCTCTTACTTYCCCAAGCTGTAAACRTGTATAAAATCCTTAGAGAAATGCTGACCGAGGCATCAGCAGCATTTCCCCGAGCGTCTAGGGGACTGTATGTAACATGAGGAAACAGACAAGACAGTGATTTTAAACATAAAAATTGTTATGATGTCTTGCTTTTATTCATGGCCTCTTTCTCTAGCTTTCTTTAATTAATTCTTGTAAAATTCCCCTCCTACTCTTACCTTTTGAGCATGATCCTAGTTTCAGTGAGTTCTATTTCTGTTAGCAAGTTTGTGTTAATTTTTTTAGAGCTATTCACCTGAGCTTCATGTTTTGAAACACAATTTAAAAAATAATCATCAGTCTTTAACAATAGTTACAGTTTGGGTTTGGGCATTGTTGATGTTTTTACCTGTTTATACATGTTGCTGAATTAAAGGCAAGATAAGATCTAAGAAAAGCACTTAATAYGTGAGGCATGGAACAATTTCTTTCATAATAGTTCTGATTCACACTAATTATATTTCTGCATTTCAGCAGCCCTTGAGTGTTGTGCATCTTTCACAGTRACTTCAGTTGTTTGTTAACTGCAGTGTTCACTTGGAGTTTTGGAAAACTTTTTAGGGCTTCTGAGCTTGCATTTCAGGACATCACAAATGTGGGGGCATAGATCTTTTGTACTTTAAATGTATTTTTAAAAGCTGCATTGAGAGCATAGGAGAAGTCTGATGGGTGCACAACAGTTGCTGGTATGCACTGAGCTTCTGTAAATGTCATTGACTCCTGTACAGTTGAGATAAGACGTGAATAATCAACTGGAAATGAATGTGAGACTAAGGGATTCTATTTAGAACACTAGAATGTCACTGYATAGGAATTCATGCAGAGATATTTTCAATTGAATCTAATGGTTCTATAAAATACTGCAGTAGTTTGAAGAGCAGTGTAGCAAACTGAAATATTACATAATTCTCAAGAGGTTAGTGCCTGTTYTAACCACTAAAAATAAAGCCAGGAATGAATATACTCTAAAGATCTTCTTACATAATTTTGTCAAATTATTTGGAAAATGATACCACTGTCTTATAATGACAGTCGACACCATTGACCACATCAGAAAGGCAGAAAATAATTAACTGGACATTTCTCTTAATAGAAGTATATTCTTTCTGTGAGACAGCTGCTTGGAAAAGGAGTGCTGTGTTTTATCACATTTCCATGCTTCACTTTCCTTCCAACTTGAAGGATAATAATAGGCTTTGAAAGAGGTATGTGCAGTAACTGCCTTAATTTCATTAAAATGTAAAATGTATCTGAAATGAGTTGACTCTTCCATTTAGGTGAGTTTTAAGATAATAGATATGGAGAAAGTATTATGGAAAGTTATTATAGAAAGTATCAGGGTGGAATGCTTTCAAATTTCTTAAGGGGGAACATTATTCAGTCCTTTTAAATGGATATGAAGTGTGTCTAATGAGTGAGTTTGTCCAATGAGTAAATGAATACTAATTTTCTGGGTTATGTGACTTGAGTCTTCAAGAACTTCAGGCCCAGGTCTGAACCATAAGAATGAAGTGAGTTGATTCATAAGGAGATAGGAGAGTATATCTGTGTTTTAAACTTTGGTGTGGTCTTGTTGCTGTAAACCACCATTACTGCAGCTTATCTAGTTGTCAGTGGTGGTAACTTTGAATGCAGGCAGTGTGATCATTTCCATACAGAAAGATGATGGAGCTTTAGACCACATCCCTGACTTCATGTTGTTGGACAAATAGCAAGTACCATGTTCTCAGCATGCAAAATGAAAAAAGTGTTTTCCATAGCAAGCTTAATACTTTAAAATATTATTTAATATTTTGGTTTTGAAAATATTAGATTATTAATCTAATATTCCCCATTAGAATGGGGAAATCCACAAGAGCTTTGTGTTGTAATGCATTCCCTATTGAGGGTATTTGTTTTGGTGTTAGTGATTCTTTGAGTGAACTTTGTCATCTAATATTAATAATGACAAGAATGACTATTCTGTCACAAGAAACACAGAAACAGGAAAGTGCACTTGTGTCAAAAGGAAGACAATGTGTCATCTAGAACTATGCACAGATAGTAATATAAGTAAAATGTTCTTTTCTGTGCCTGACATGGCAGAGATTCTGTTTAACCCTTATTTCATCTGGTATGGATTAAATGAATACAAGTCATTCAGTTTTCTTTTTTTTTTTCCTCTCACCATTCTCATCACATTTGCAAAAGCTGATTTTTGCTTCCATAGATGCTTCTGCCCCTGTAACACAGGGAAAAAAAAAACCCGTATGTCCAAGAAAAAGATAATTAAGTTATCCTTTAAGCACGAGGGAGCAAAGTGAACAAAACTATGAGCATCTTTAAAAAGTGAACCAAGACCATATTGTGGTAGGGTCAGGTAGTTCAAGTCTTGAACAGAGTTAAGCAAACATTTTCCATTTGCAACCAAGGGATAGCTTTGCTTCCCTGCTACTGTTTTAGGGCTTGGGTGGTGTTTATCTTCTTTCAAACATCTGTACAGTAAAGATTAGCAGCTGCACTTTTCCCAGTCTCTCACCTTTAACATACACAAGTGCACAGAGTTTGTTTGTTTGCTGCATTTTCTCAGGAGGCTGCAGTTCATGTAAGGGTGTTGGCAGCTTCATTGGGAGGCCTGGAGAATTTCCAGCTTAAAACTTAGATGTAACTATCAACTGCTGCTTTTGGGAAAGGTTCTTGCAGTAGCTACCTCACACATTCAKATAATTTATATACTTTAGAATAGTCTGTTACAGTAAAAGTATAGATTTCTTTATATCTTCTGTGAGGGCTTTTGTGACTTTGCTGCTCACATTGCTGTAGCATGGAGGATATCACAGAGTCACAGAATCATTTAGGTTGCAAAAGACCTCTAAGATCATGGAGTCCACCTGTTAACCCAGCACTGCCAAGTCCACCACTAAAGTGTGTCCCCAASTGACAGGTCTACACCTCTTTTTAGTACTTCCAGGGATGGTGTCTCAATCGAATTCCCTAGTGAAATAGAGAAATGAAAGCCACTATTGACTTTTGGCAAATGGGGAAAAAGRGCATCAAGAAGCATTGAGAAATACCATGCAGGCAGTTTGTGCTGAAACACAGAAACTGAGGCCTTTTCCAAGTTATATGCRCTGTCTGTATCTCTTATTATACCAATAGTCAGTATTTATATCCTGACTTACTGTTTGTTACATTCAGCAGTGAAGCCTATGGTGCTGAAAGGCTGCTACACATTTTGCTATCWAACTTGAGCTTTGAATGGTTTTCTAGAAACATTTGTGATCATTTTTGCTTTCTTACTTCTCCACACAKAATAAATTTGGAGTCTGTCATTCTCCCTGGGAAACAAATTCTGTACTTTGCAGCTATTTTTGGTATTTTCGTGGCTTTCCTGTTTTACCATTCYGAAAATTACTATGTAGTAGAAATGCCAATGACAAATAAAATTAGGTTGGAAAAGGATGGTTGTGATTGGCCCTGTGTAATWGTTACTCTTCATTTATCACTGCCCCTTTCAAAGCAGTTTTGCAATATGGGTAGAGTTCCTTCCAACAGAACAAACTGCTAATAATTAATGTGGAATTCCTCAGCAAAAATGTTCTAATTCTGTATTGCCAAATATAGAGTTSTCTTCATTTGTGAAGAGATGAAACTGGTATTTATTGAGCAGATCATTGAGCAGGTGTGGCTTAAGTGTGCTGGRTGGTAGAGACTTGGACTTGACAAAAATGAAACCTTTTCAATCATCTACTTTAATGCTCAGGGCTTGAGTCATGGCACAAATGCTTCTTTGAATCTTGGTAAAAATATGYRTCTTTTCCTTCTSATGTGTAGACTTTCCTAAGGGTGCRTCTTATTTCTGGATTAATTCTTTCCTATTTTTCCTTTCCCCAAGATATAATTGACCCAGCTATCCTGCGTCCTGGTAGGCTGGATAAAACACTCTATGTGGGTTTGCCACCACCTGAAGATCGACTCGCTATTTTAAAGACCATCACCAAAGTAAGTATTTGGAAATARATCCTTAATCATGCAGCTTCGTGGAATGATGAAAGACAAATTAAATGGTACAAAGGGATCCTGTCTCATAAAACATTTTCAGGCATTCCATCCAGTCATAAAAATAATCCCTCAGCCCATCTACTGTTAAATTTGCTCTGAGACTGCAAGGGCCTGGTGAATCTTTGAGTTAAGCAAACCTGTTAAACATAGAAGTTGCTGTCTTTATTGTCAGTTTAAACAGATTTAATTAGAAGATTCCTATCTGTGTGAATAATGAGCCTAGAAGTGTTTTGTAAGCTTTTTTGTGGGGTTTCCAGACATTCACCAGAATGATTCACGAGCTCCAGCTGTATTTGCTCAATAGCAATTGTGACACCTAATTGCCTTTAGGAGTAAAGGAAGCTTGTGATRATAGAGGTTGTAGTAAATGTGAAAATGTGGAATACGTGCCTTCATGGGTCCTCCCTGTGGTTAACAGCACAATCTGCYCCTTCAGAGATTTGGATTATAGAATTTTGTTTACTTCTCCACATATGTCACTGCAGGAATCAAGGTCTTAAAAAGGAATGTGCAAAGTATTATGAATTACTTGGATATTTCATGCTTTTTTCTGGTAAGTCAATATTGATTGTTAAGAGCAGGTGTTCAATCAGATCTTTTTTTTAACTGCAAAGGAGACAAAGTCTTTACTCTAGGAAAAACATAGCATTATGAGAAGTGTAGCAAAAACTATTTGGTATATTTGTAATAAAAGGCAATCCAGACCTGTGTAAGCTTTGTATTGTGGTGTACAGGCAATAGTTGATTCAGAAAGTGAGAACTTTGAGTGAGAGAACTTTTTCWCTCAGGAAGTGAGAACTTGTTCAAGCCTGTTCTTTCATGCCAAAATGGATGTTCAGAGGGCAAATTCTCGTAACAAATTCAGGATATAAGCCTTTCCTTCCATTGTTCTGTGCATTGTTTCGTGGATGAAAATATATTAGGTATTCCCCCATTTGCTATTTGGAGKTGACAAGTTTGTTGTTTCTAAGTTTTACAAAAATACTTCAGTTAGAACTTTCTACAACCCTGTTCTTAGAGATGATTGCTTTTCATGAGATATTGAGAGAAATTTAGTGTAACATTCTTGAAACATTTTTCAAACATACTGTAAGGAATCGTGATTTTTATTTTACCAAATTTATTTCCAAAAGTAATTAGGGGTGTAGGGTGTTGGTGCTTTGCTGCCTTCACTGGAGGAAAAGGTGGTATTAAATAGAGCTGATTTCACTCACTCTCACAAGTTGCCCTTGCTCACACTCTCAGAGCCACATGTAGTCACCAAGATACACCCACACACCTAGAGAGGCAGGATCTCTTGTGGGCAGCACTGAGGATAAGGAACTGTRTTGAATCCTCACTTCATCTTTTGGCTTCCTCTTGTCTGGCAGTGACCAGCTGGTTGTTAGGAGCACTGTTTGCAGTTTCCCTTCAAGAATCAAATTCAGGATTGCACTTATGCCATAAATCTTGGACAAAGTTGCTGAAAAGTATCTTTGCTGCCTTTTCCTGGGAATCTTTGTGTCTACACTCCTATCTTCTTGTTGGGATAACACCAAGAGGTGTGGCAATGGGATGTGGTAACCTTGTTATTATCCCACTGCCAAAATACTTTTGTATTCCGCTGACAAATCATGTTTGTGGCTTTATCTGCTTATGGTCTTTCTTGTGATAGAAGGAGTACATTGCACAGTTGTTTATCAGCTTGGTTTCTGTGGATGTTGTCACTGGTTATCACCTTGCTGTCTTGCATTTTGGAATGCAAGATGCTTTCACGTATGCTTAATTCATGCCAGTCTGACTATTTTAATTACAAATCCTTGCAGTGAATGAGGAGTTAAATCTAAAAATGTGTAGGAGTCTTCTGAAAGAAGAYATGGAATAGGAAGAGGAAAAAATATGTTAAATTAATTGAAATAAACCTTATTTTTTGTCAGCTTTCATCCATGCATTCTAGTTAAGGAAATGTGAAAAATTTGARTACACATTTGCTCCAGGCTAGAGAAAATAAAATGTTTGGTGCAGATGTGAGTGACTTCTGGATGGTGACATCCATTCCCAGAAATCTCCAAGGAATACATGCACAGYATGTGGAAACAGAATCACTGCTGAATGAAAACATGGATGCTTAGAAAGGCAGCATGAGGGGTAGAAAAGGGAGCTGGGGGAGGAATAGGTTGTCAGGAAGACAAAGAACCTAARTGTAGGTTGAAACATTGTTGTGAATGACTCTTTTTCAGTTAACTTGTACTAATCAATCATTCTCAATTGCGTATTATGCAAGAGAAGCCTGTCCTCACATGTTTCACTTACTGCTGTACTGTCATTCCTGCAAGCTGCATCAAGCTCCTCTGCTGCACAGAGCTTGGCACCAGAGCAGGCAGAGCAAAAAGTCCTCAGTGTATTGTGGCTCCTCAAAGCAATAGGTAAAACATTTCCTTTTAGCAGAGWAGGGGTCTCTCTGGCTTGCTATAAGAATTATTAAAGTATCCCATATGAAATTGTATCACATTTCCTTATTTCCAGGTTAAAGTCTCTCAGGGTGTTTGCAAATCAGGCTGCTCCTTTATCTTTTCATTGTGGTGTTGTTCTGGTTTGTTCCTTTTCTTTTATTCTGCCAAAGATTCATTGAAGATTGCTTCCTCTTCCTTACTCTGCCTATTCCTTAACTGTATCAAGTGTTCATGTGTTTTAACTTGGCCAGTTACTACACATTTTTGTTTTTCTCTTGAAGATRTTGGTAGGTATGTGGTGTATTAGTTCCTCTGAAGATGTCAGAAAATAATTACATAACATTGTTCATTTCTGTCAAATGAGTTTCTGGCAGAAATTCATCATTGTATCAAAGAAAGTATTCTTATCTGTCAAAACTCAGACACTGTTCGATACAAGAGACATCTTAAATCTCTGTACTATTATGAWACTACATTACTGTTGTCTGAGTATAACAGGGAGGATCTCCAAGCTTAGAATGTTTGGAAATTTTGTTGGCTAGTTTCAAATACCATTTACAATGTTTAATATTTTTTTCCTTTTGGAGRTGCAAAAATTATAACAAAAGAAACCACTTCTGGGATCTTTTACTGGGAAAGCAGTAATAATATGGAAAAGTAGTGTCCAAAAATCTACAGAATATGTAAACTTCTATGAAATACTGGTGGAAAACTTCCAAGTTGGAAAATTTATATCCAGAATATAAAAGATAGACAATTAATTTAGTCTTAAATGTGATAAGATTAAACTGACATGCCTATTGCTTAGCTATTTGATTTCAACACCCAGTAAAACTAGAGATTCAGCTAAACAAAGCTGCTGATGCAACCAGCTATTATTAAAAATAAGTCTACATATGGAGTAGTGTTGATGTTACAATGCCCTGTGGCAGGCTGGTCATAATTTCCTTACAGAAAATCTAATCTGTGGGCGGGAAGTTAAAATTTAACATTGCTTAATATTTCATAATTGAATGGTTTTAAGACTGATTATCCTTCTTGTCAGTTTGAGATTAAAAATACTAGTATTTGTGGATATTGCAGGAAATTTGGCAGACCCTTCTATGATTCCTAATTAAAGAAACCTAATCATTTCAAGGATGGCTGATGTTAAAAGTGATGGTAAAAATGTTTTCTTACCTTCCCYTTTTCCTTACCTCCACTCCTTTAGAATGGCACTCGGCCTCCACTAGATACTGATGTAAGCCTTGAGGAAATTGCTCACAGTCAACACTGTGATTGTTACACGTGAGTATCTTCTAATATTGACTTTCAWATTTAATGTGCAGTGCCCAGAATATTCTGATGCATGATCAGCTGTGTTTTGTTGTGGTTATTGAGAGCGTTTATAAACCTTTTCCCATAGGCTATTTTTCTTACTTTCACTTGTGCTTTTTTCCAAGAAATTGGCAGGAATAGATGGACACTGAAGTCTTCTTCATCTGGAGTAGTCCTCTTCATATTGTTGAAACAGAACTGTGGAGGCCCCTTGGYTTTCCTGCATTTTATTTTATAATTCTTGCATCATCTGAGGACAAAAGAGCCCTCTTTAAGGTGTGGGTCCATATACAATGGTGATGAAAGCAAATTGGTTAAACAGCCATAACCAGCTTGCTCTGTCACAGAGATGACAGCAATCTGTTTGACAAATTAATCAGGGGCCATTTCGACCTGTGCTTTAGGAAYAGCAAGGTGTGGCTTTAGGGAAAGCTTGATGGCCATATCTGTCAGAATAATTTGTGATTATGTTTTATAAAACTTCACAAGACTTTTAGTTATTCAACAGTTTAGTAATACTCGATGTTTTTATGGAGTTTACTAAAGATAAAGTTTATGACAGGCTGCTTGCTASAAATTACTTGGGAAAGATGGGTTCTTTTTCTGTCTACAACTTTCACTCACAGGTTTATGATCCAGTTGGGTTTTTTGCCCAGTGTTTGTGGGTTTTGGTTGGGTTTTTGTTGTGGGGTTTTTGTGTTTTTGTTGGGTTTTTTTTTGATCCTTAGGTTTATCTGTATTTTGAGTTTGGGGTTTTTTTATGTGCATGTGGATGGGTTTTTATTGCGGGTTTTGATTTCTCTGGTTTTGGTTTGGTTTGGTTTTGTTTTTTTTTAAAATCTGATTTGGTCTAGTTTTTGCTTTTTAAATACATCAGTATTCCTAGCACCCCCAAATGAAGCACATTCAGTTACTTGTGAATTTTTTTTTTTTTGGTTCAATGACTTTCAGCAGTTGAAAGTCTTGTGAAGCAGATCTGACCATGTTTTCTGGATACTGTTATYTTAAGAGCATGCTAACTTTACTGTTGATGCAGCTTTGAGCAACTCCCTTATGTAATGGTGTGGGTTTGCATTTGAATCTTTCATAAGATTTATAAAAAAAGGGAAGAAGTTACATTCCCACTGAGTGGCAGATTACTCATTAATCCTTTGGCATTTTCAAAGATGCTGAATGAGAGTTTTGCCTCTTCCCTTCCTTCTCATTTATTTGATCTTATTCTGTGGCTAAAATCTGAAGAGCATCCCTCTGTAAGGAACGTTGCACACTGGGTAGTCATCGGGCCTATTTCCAATGTTCTTGAGATGAAACTTCGTGACAGCACAACAAATTGTTACTGTCATTTTTAGTGTCTTGCCTTTCTATATGGCATCAGCAAAAGACCAGAGAAATTKATCCCCAAATAACCTGTTGTTTGTATCTCTAGAGGGGCAGACCTTTCTGCTCTGGTGCGTGAGGCTTCCATTTGTGCCTTGAGACAGSAAATGGCCGTGCAGAATACTCAAAGCAAGAAGGGTAAGGAAACTTAAAAAAAAAAATCGTAACTGAACAGTGACAAGATAAATGGAATGTAAAGTATTTAAAGCAGTTCAAGGCAAGCATAAAGCTGTGCTAGCTGTATATCATTGATTGACTGACTTCTGAGCCAAACAAAAATTAAGTCAGACTTATTGGAAAAACATGTAAGGGAAGGTAGGGGAGAGTTCAGGAAAAATGGTGACGCTGGAAGGTCAGCATAAATTTTTCTCTTAAAAAATTCAAGCTTGCAACCTTAAAGCAGARTTTATGTAAATGGTTATATGAACGGGTTATTTTCTAGACTGAATATCCCTTTGGCAACTTTCCGTAACACTATCAAAGATTAATTATGCTGACGTGTTTGGAGGAGGGTTGTAAACTGCACATTCCCTGATTACCCACCTTTGGCACCTAGCTGTGTTGTGTAACTGAACACGTACATCCAGTACAGATGGAGCTGGGAAAATCTGAGTGCCACTTTTGATCTTTGATGCTTAGCTCATCAGTGTCTCTTGCCAGGACTTTAACAGGGAGCTATATATTGTTTCAAGTACAATGTCTGCCCTTTCATTATCTGTCTGAACTTCTGGTTTAAGTTGTATTTTCATGGGGWTCTTTAAATTATAGACTGAAACCTTTATATCAAATGCCTATCTGTTCAGATTTTTTTCCCAATAATTTTGTTACTTTACCCTTAAGTCAAAATGCAAAGCTTAGATGGAATTGTGACTTTTCAGAACATGTCCTTGGAAAACATCTTAGGCTTTCATTATGATCATGATTTGCTAAGAACAACACTGCAGTTTTAATAGCTTTGAATCATTATTTTTGATCTAGTACCTATTCAGTCTTGTCTCGTTTTTAGCAACAGTAGGTGAACAGAGCACARTGTTTGTATTCCTTGTTCTGAGACAACAGGCATGTTCAACTACAGAAGGAAAAAACCCTGAGCTATAAAAACCTTCACTGTTGTATGACTTGGTTAGCCATTTTGCTTGCTGTAGCTGGTTAAAACTCTTGATTTGAGATGGAAATTTCTGAGTTTATCCTGTTYATTTTTATAATTATTCAGAATACAGCAGGCTTTATTCAAAGMTGTTTATCACTTGAATTCTGCCTTCACAGTTAGGATTGCAGCCTAAGCACTGACTGTATGAATATGTAGTCAGTCAGGGAGTCCATAATCTATGTACAGCTTGATCTGCACGTTTATAGCAGCTGCTTGCTCGGAATGTCCTTGGATTTCCAAGAGGTCAGTCCTGATTGGTATGAAAGCATATAGGGTGGTTTATGATTTGAATCCTGGTCCATTTATAACTTTAGGATAAGACTGGTTATTTTCTTGTTTCAGTGTTACGACAGAACACATTCAGCTGCCTCCCCTCCCATACTCTGCTTGACTGTGGATGGGTGCTTGAGTGTCTCCCTCAGTCAGTCCTTTGGAATTAGGGCTGCTCTTTTCTTATCTGGAGAAACTGTTGCAACTTCTTGTTATACCTGATATTTTCCCTCTGGAAGAAATTCAGGGTTTTTTTTTAACACTCAGCAGTGGTTTGCTTGAAGGTCCTTTTAGAAAGTGAAATGGAAAGGTATACTTTTGTGATATTTCATAGAAGAATTCATAAATTCTACTGCCAACCTGAACAGACCTAGGTAAACTGATCATGTCAGTCACTAAGGTCTGAGAATTTCCAGATACAGAAGTTTGTAGGGRAAATTCCTAACGGTTGGGTAGATTTCCACTTTCGTGAGGTCCCCCTGCAGTTCGTCATCATTGGTCCAGCATTTGACTGCTCAGTAGAGTTCACTGTCATTTGCAAACTTGGACTTTCACTTCTGCCTCCCTTTTCCAAAYCACTGAAGATGGTGCATAAAACTGGTTTTAGCCAGCGTGGGACCCATCCTTACTGCAGCAGTTCTGCAGTTTCTTAATTAGGTTYCTCAGAAACTTTGGCTGAACACCATGTGCTCCTGGTGACTTCCCCTTAATATCTCAGCTCACCTATTTAGCTTGATCTTATCTATTAATTTCAAAATAGATCTAGTCACACAGGATGTATAGGGTATGAGGAATATAATAGTAGGAGAGATTCTTACACCCTTTTTCAGCTGCAGAGACAAATACAGAGAACTTAATGACCTTCTAAACTATGGCCCTTTTTATATATTTTTATAAAAGATAGACAGTGGCCCCACATCACCTGCACAGTCTGTAAGGCTGATCTTAAGCAGAGAATATCTGAGACTTTTTGTAAGAGCATTTAAGAGCAACTGTTGTTTAACAAGTGAGAATAAAGTCTTGCATCTTTGCAGTCAAAGTTGAAAAGCAAAATCTGGTCCTTGTTTGATAGGAACCACCTCTCCCTCAGTAATCTATATAAACAGGAAAACATCAATTTCATATCTAATGTTTTAAGTACTTTGTCTTATTTTTAAAATATTGTACCTGATGATATACTTCATTATTTTATCAATATAATTGTTTTAAATGATAAAACATTAGTATCTACTTATTCAAACGAAATAGTTTTATCATAGAAATCAAAGTTAAGTTTGTTAATGCAAGTAGCCAAGATCTAGATTACTCACAGCTACATTTTCCACATGATCAAGCTTTGGGCAAGCTTCTATCATACAATAAGCATGAAGTGGCCTGACTTACTTGCACTGAGAARTTAACTGCCTAGCAGGAGATTTTCTCCCTCCCTTTGTCATTATCAGAGTTTGATTAAAAGGATACATGCTTAAAAACAAAAGTGAAAGCAAAATTGAATTCTCATAGCTTTGTTTCATTGTTTTATGGCGTTTCAATGACTCAGTCTAAAAGTAATCTGTCTTCTGGGAAAGTCCCAGGTTAAACCTTTTCCTTATCATAAATAGCATTTCTTTGGGGAAATCAGTTAAATTCCTGATATTGAAGATGCAAGATTTAAATATTTCCAGGTATAATTTTATCTGGTAATAGGAATGTTGAATATGAGCTCCAGAGAAGTGAGATGAGAGCACAGTGAGGTTGTATKGTTTGTTTGGTGAACTTTAACTTTTAAACGGGTAATAATAGCTGTAGCCTATTTGTTGTCCTGCTTTAGACCTTAGACAAGTCCACATTTTTAATTTAGTACCTTCTGTTTGCTATTTAGTCTTTTACTATATCAGCAGATGTCTGTTAAACTCGGACTCAATATATTTTAATGTTAACAGTTTTTTTATGTTGGCACATCCCATTTCACATGGCAAAGGTAGTGGCAGTGAAAGCTAAAACCATCCTAATGAAAAACAGAGAAAAAAATGCACCAAACAAGACTATAGTTTGCAGGTTTGCATAGTATTAGCATTGTGATGAATCTTTACAGTAGTGGCATCTTGGGATTCGCAAGTTTAGACTRAGCAAGGTACTTGCTTGTGAGAGCAGAGGAATCCATGACTTATTTGAGGTATGATTATGTTTTAACATACTTAAAAAACCTGTTCAAAAGGTTATTATTAGGAATAATTACTGTGGMTAGCTGCATTAAGGTCAGAAAGGCAATTTGCATAAACACAAGCAGTTGTAAAAGTGAAAGCTTTCATCACTCCTGAATAATGCCAGAGAAGGCAATGATATGCAGCCAATTATTTAGAAATTTAGTAGAATTGGAATGATAGCAAAATGTTGTCTAGGTACTTCCTAAATAACAGGGAMKCTTAATATTAAAYTTATGTTAAAAAAAMCYAAAAAWCCCAGAACTAGAAGCAACAGGATTTGAGGATTTGACTCACTTCCAGAAAGGTTAAGGGAATTCTATCTAGATTTGATGTAAGCTGCAGTTAACTCAGCAATTTTGAGAATTAAGTTCTCAGTCTGCAAGTAGAAACACTATCACCTAAAATAACTTGCTGAAACGAGTGAGTATCCTTTGCCTTAAGGTGCAGGGGAGAGAGGGATTAAGACTCTGCCTAAGATCAGATACAGGAAAATCTGCATCAAATATAAGAGCTCAGGTGTTATAACTACTGAAYTAAATCTCATCCAGTTGAGTTGCACATGCAGTTACCTGGATTTCATGAATGCTGTCTTGAAATACATGCAACAGTCACTTGGTGGTCACTTGTCTGCAATTTTAGTAATTTATTATGCTCTGTTCTTTAAGGAGAAATCAGGATTTCTCGTAAACACTTTGAAGAAGCTTTTAGGAAAGTGAAATCTTCAGTATCCAAAAAGGTAAGATAATATTCAAGGATGTAAAGCTCATTACTCCCTTGGGAAGGACACTCTTCTGATGCTGCACACTTGGGAATGGTTAATGCTGCAGCACACTTAGATGTATTTCAAACTGACACTACCTGTTTGTGCATTAAACAAACCTGATGTTTGTGTTAAGCTCAGAAATGAAAGGCAGATGATGCACTGCATGTAGATGGGTTACCAAGATATCAAGGTTCTCTTTTGGTATGGTACCTTGGACTTCATTGATGYCCCCAGAATGATTATTAATCTGGCCCTAATATTTCATGTCTGCTGAATTTTCAGTTAGAAGTCAAGGCCTTTAGAATACACCACATCCTGCCACAACCTTTCCTTCCCTGTGATGATGACACTTTTTCTGCTGATKTGCAAGAGATATAAATTTGACATAGGACATAAAACACACTTTATTAACTTAATTATTTATCAGTMTTTTCGTTATTTGGATTTGTCAAGGAAGTTTGTTGTAAACATTTCCTTATGCCCTGTTCTTTTTAATGTCTGAAAGGAAAACTGTTCAATCATATTAATTACTATAATTTTGAGGTTAATATATAGGAATTGCTATTATTGCAGAGTTCATGTATAGGTCTCCATGTGTTGCCAGGAGTGTACTGCAGCCAGAATACATTCATGTATTCACATTTAACACTAGCCAGAATGAAGTCAGTTAACTATTTCCTTTCATTATTATTGTATTTTGWTGGTCAATGACCTTTCATAAAATTTAAAAGTGACCTGTGGCTCCAGGAACCTTTGAAGATAGTGATGGTTGTTGTTTTCCATTTGCTAATCACTAAGCAAACAGCCAGAAAAATTTAAAACATCTCCTCTGACATAGCAATGACTTAAGTATTAGAACATATTCCTTCTGGTTAATCAATTATGCTAGTCTGCATCTCAAAAGCAGCTTAAGTATCATATGTCTGAGAGTCCCTATATTTCAGTTATATTCATCTGAAAACTTTTCATTTAGCTATTTTGAAATATCTTTTGCAATACACGATACTTATCTCCCATTTGCAGATGCTACTTCCTATCTGCTAGACAAATTCAGTCTMACAAAAACTCTACACACCCTCCTATGAATACTGGGAAATAGAAAAAAAAGGCTAAAAAAGCTGCATCTTACTGATCTAGTGCATCTACCTTCTCTATCCCATACACATCTTTGTGTTTGGTGTAATTGGTTGACTCAAGATAAAAATATTCTTAAAGCTGGGGACAAACACTACCTTCTGAAGCCAGTTATTTAGTGGAARTGTTTTGTGCCTCAAAACTAATTTTGAATGACCAGTGAGAAGGGTTRAGGAACAGTTAAGTGAGACTGGTAAAAGATGATGTTGTCTGTTCCTTTTGGCAGAACTAGATGGGGGAGGAAAGTGTCAATTCAGCAGCTCCTGTGGTGAAGAGGGCAGTRCCTTCTCAGTGAAGCTGCCCTTTAACCTAGCATGGCAACATGAGGTGTAACAACTTTCCCCAAGGCCTCTGTGAATTATACWCCGTTCCTGTAGATCTCTGGAGAACCTCATTTATGAGCCAGGGCAGTGGAAGTTGCCTTATTTAGGTTTTTGTTTGTAAATGTTTTAAAATACAGCTAGTGGCTCACAAAGCTGCTTTGTTTCACTGGCTTAAATAATATACAAAGTCACTTTGAAATATTGTGTAATCTTTTTACCATTGTCTGAGGTATTTTTCCTCTTCTCTTGGCACTGTTAGGATCAAATAATGTATGAAGAACTGCATCAGTCACTGTGCAGGTGATACATTTGGACAATTCCCAAAGGAGACTTATTCTACACTGGTGAAGAGTTCTGCAATTCCTGTGCCTGTTTTCAAGAGACAGGTTGGAAAGAAGCTGTACTAAATCCATCTCTCAACTTTTTRTACTGCACCTGGAAGAAAGGTCATCACAGCCTACTGCTCCAAAGCATCCTTAATTTAACTTCCTGAATAAAACATACAATATTTGCTTCCTCTTTATAACCATTTACATTTTCAAATGAAATCTTTTTGTGTTAAAAAGTGAACTATTTGGTGTCCTGAATCAGAAATCTCTGAGGCACAGGCTGACCCTTCCAAGTATTTACACTGCTCAAATAGCTATTTTCAACCATCAGTGAAAATTGCTCTGTTTTCCAGAACAAGGACACTGAAGAAGCACTGGGAGGRCAGAGCTGTGAAAGCAGGCTGGGAAAGTGCTGCATTGCATGTTATCACACCATTAATCATGCATTTTCTGAGAACCCTGACACATGATTGTGCCAGGACAGGTTCTCAGAGCTGCTAACAGCTTCCTTGCACCTTACCAAAATAAACTGTCCACAGATGGCAAGCTGGGAGGGTTACCTAGGAGGGAGTMAAGTTTGGAAATATGACTGCCCCAATGATACTATGATTCAACCTAGGAAACATTTAAGTTGAGGTAGTTAACGAGCTGGGTCTTAATTATTTCTCCTTAAACAGATAACTTTGTAACAACAAAGAAACTTTCTTACAGTATTCTCTGGAGAAAGCAAAATGTTATGTTTTAAAAAGCAGACCAAGAGCCTTTTTTTTTTTAATACAAGAAATTCCATCTTGGAAAGGTCATAACTTTCAGCATCAACAAATTGGGAGACTTAAGCAAAACACTGAAAAGTGTCACATTATTAAACCTACAAGCCTTAAGGGAATAATCCCAATGAAATAGTGTTTGTAAGCAACATCTAATCTGTAAGCACCCTCCCTACTTAAACATTTAAGGAGATAATTTAATCTTCTACTTGAATTCATTTAAACAAATATCCTCAACAACCAGATCTRACTTTAAAGACTGACCTCAGTAGASAACAGTATTCTCTTGATAGTACATCTTAAATTCTTCTCASAATTGCCAGCTAACACAAAATCTTGCTGCACCTTTTTAAAGGTACATGTTGAAGGCCACCTCCTGTAACTAATGGCCAAAAACTTGCATTTTAAAAAGTRCTGACACTGATGGCAGCTTGTTCTTATCCCCGGGATTTTTGCTCAACATGGCATGACATTCCCTCCCTGTCCTAAGGACGCTGGAGCCTCAGTGACTCAAATTCTGACTCATAAGACTAACAAATTAAGTCCCTGTATATAAAGCAGAGGATGATGATGTGCCTGCTTTTAATTGTAAAWCAGGCTTGAAGCTTCAGCTATGATTCCCAGAAATGCAGGATGAAGGTTAATAATTTTCAAASAGTATCATGTTGGAAGGAAACTTTAATGATCATCTGGTTCAGCACAATCTAGACAAGATRGCACAGCACCCTGTCCAGCTGAATCTTATAGGTGTCTGACATTGGGGAATCCACCACTTCCTGGGGAGTTTATTCACAATRACAACAATCAGTTAGTGCAATAGTTTTCCCCCTTTCCAATGGGAAGCACCCCAGGAGTGACTTGCATTCCTTACTCCTCCTCCTTTTCACATCACTCTTGTTAAAAGAGAATCTCCATCTTCTTTGTAACCACCCCTGGAACATGGTGATAAGTTCTCTCCCTAAGCTTGATTTTCTCAAGGCTGCACAAACACAGTTCTCTCAGTCTTAGATCATAATACTACATCAGTACAACAACAATATTAATTACAACAGTAATAATACAGTCAATTTACCTGAGTACACCAATGAAATGAATCAGTGATTTCTCCTTTAWGGATATATAGAGAAGATGCTTGCTTGAGGATAGCTGCAGATGATGAGTTTAAGAAGGAGTGAAGTCCACAAGCCTTGGCATCTTCACCAAAGAATTTTCCTTTCCTCTTAGGATGGCATTATTCCTGTGTATGCATTGAGCAAGAAAGCAGAGTAGGACTTGCAAGGCAAGATAAGGGAGGAAATGCTATTAAGTAGTAGTAATAGCAATCTGGTCTTGTCAAGAGTGCCAACATAAAGCATGGTTATTATTCCAAGTCTCATAATCATTCTTCGTAACAGGTCATAATGGAATAGAAAGTGGGGTGTGGGAGGGTTTGAATTCCCAAGAAAATCTGAAGTTAAGGTGTAAGGAAAAAGAAAAAGTCGCGTCAGCCAAGTGTCCATATCCTGTTTGCTTACCTTGTCTGGTCTCCATGTGCAGCAAGGAGGAGGCAAGGGTAGGCAGCTGAATTGCATTTGCCTGCTCACACACGASTGTTACACCCATACTGCTCCTTGTGGGAAATTCTGCTTAGGCTATAGTATAYATCACTAAATAAACAGTGATCCTTTGTACAGAAGAAATCCTTTGTACACAGAAAATGGGAACTGCTTTAAGGAACGAGCCTTTTCATGCAAYAGAGACAAATATTTTGTCTGCATATGCAGCTACTGCCCCTCCTAGCAGACATTCCTCAAGGTTTTGCCTCCAGTCATCTTGTTTCTGTTGTGACAAGATCAAGAAATTGTTCATCATGCCRTTCTCCTCTCCCTTTTCCTGAGGCTAGCAACATATCTAACCACAATAATGATCCTGTCTCAGAGCAGAGTAGATGCTAACTTAAGCATGGATAGGGGGCAGGGGCAGTGCAGGGGACTATCAACAGGAGAAAAGGAAAATGTTGTCTTCATTCTKGGCTCAATAGGAAACTATTTTCACCTTCATCCCAACTAAAGTCTCGTTTCAATGCAGACTCGATTGTGAAATAGAAGATTTGCTAGAGAAGAGATAATTGTGTGGAGTTGCAGGTTGTTGTGCTAAAGGCAGATGCACATGATTCAGACACACCTATTTATCAGATTGTTTTCCTAGGGCCTCGCAGAAGCAATGCTGGCCGACCCAGAAGTGCTCCTGTGCCTTGCAATGTGCAAGCTAAAACAACAGAACTTGTTTTGCTGTCTTTGGGGACTTCAAAATTACAGAGAACAGTTTCAAAAAGCTGTGCCAAACTACTTACACAAGGTTGCTGCTTCAAAGTCACTTTCCTTCTCTCAGTCCAACAGGAGTATGGCAGCTTGCAGTCTGTAGCACTGMTGTTATCAGCTGTTGAACCTCACCATTAAATGTGGAATGAACGGCTTGAAGCTCTGCTGTGGCATGTCACTTCATCTGATCCAAGGAATAAATGTCAGGGAGGCAGAGGTGAGCCACTCACCTCACCAWCTAACAGGGTCCACTTGTTGTGAACATGTCTCAACAACTGGAGGCCTTTGCYTTATGTGCTCACCAGCTCATTTAATGACTCCACCAGAGGAATTCTGAGACACACAACTGAAAGTCTGAACTACRTTTCAATTGACCTCTGGTTCCAGGGAGGAAGTCCTGCCCTGGATCTGAAAGCTCAGAGCTCTGTAACCAGACAGATGCACCCATTTAACACATTAATGTTGGGAAGCAGACAGGTTCAACAGCAAATCAGGAATGCCAGAGGCAAGGGTTGTTCTGAAAGAGRAGTAGACCCACGCTTGTCCTGTGGGAAAACTAATGCCTAGTACAATCATTCCAGGATGCATTATTTATTCCACTTAAGCAGCTCCAAATAATTGGGGGCAGGGAATGTTAAAAAGCCGTGCAAGGAAGTTTATTCTGAAACCTGGAAACTATTCTAAAAGCCCTGAAGGGGATTCAGAGCTCTGCACAATTCAACTGCAGCAAAAATACTTGGGTGACAGTTAAGCCTCCTGACTGATTTCATATAAGGAGATTTCTTCCAAAGCCTAATAGACATGTAGAAACACCAAAGTTGACTCATTCCATCTGAACAGAATAAGGATCAAACAACTGGGTTAACTGTCAGGGTTTGTGATGCTCTTTAGGTTTAATTTGTTTTCACCAGTTAGTCAAAGCTCCCTGCAACTTTCACATAAAGTGTCTCAAAATTACACTAAACTGTTTCTGCCAAATATGTTTTATGAAACATAATAAAAACTATTTAATTCCACAAAACAATAACTGTATGGTTCATATGTATTAAAAAAATGTTATTGTTTTGTATTTCTTTGTGAAAGAAATAGGGTCATGCCTTTGAAGTAAACACTATGCTTTCTCCAATCATACTTAAAATTCAYTGTTCATTCAGAATATATCAAACAAGTCAAGTAGACTAGCTAATCCTAATTACTTCTACCAGTGGTTCAGAAATCRTCTAATTGTTTTTCAGGGATGAAACTATGCTGGTTACCTTTCAGATCACGTGCTTTTGGCAAAATCCTTACTATTGAATTTAGCTACCCTTACTATTGAAGTTAGCTGCTAGGGCTTTTTATGCATTACACAGAATTATATGACTAAGGAGRGTAGCTACCAATGCTTGCCAGATTCAGACCGTTGTTTAGATCCAAACTTAAGTCTCACTATCTCAGATTAACCTAATAGAGTAAATTGTTCTCCAATAGGTAGCAAGTAGCAGATGTTTCAGAAAGATTATAACAATATGTCTCCCTCAAAATTCCTCCCTATTCAGTACCTCTTGAAGTGAAAATAATATATTTATAAATGGAGTTGGAAGGGATATTCATAGTCAGAACATTTTAAAGCAACACTTGCAATTTTAAACGAGAGATAGCAACTTCAGCCCTGTTTAAAAGCAGGAATTCCATGAAGTGGGTAACTAAGACTATAAAATTTTTACRTATTCTTGCAGGATAACTGAATTTCTTTAACTCTTAGCCATAAAACTTCATAGACACTTTCCATCCTTCAWCCAGCTATGATAAATCAACACCAAAGATAATGAAAGAAACAAAGGGCGAAATTAATTAAGTGGCTTAAAAAGAAACCAGATTGCAACTTCCWATGCCTTTACAAGTATTTCAATCCAAGTCAGTTTTCCTTTGAATATAGGGGAAAGGCAGTGATTCTTTACAGGTCATCTATACCATCACTCAATAGAACATGTCTGGAAGCTGCTTTAGAAATCCCGAATTTCTCTAAGTCCTTCAGCATAAGGGGACCAATCAAAATTTCACCCAATATTACTTYAATCTTTGCTTTTTAATTACCTGTAAAAATACTGGACAAAGTGTATTTTGGCATAACTCTCTACCCTGAGCAACACGCTGGCTACCTTGCAGGTTTCTGGCATAATGAAGTCACTTTGTAGGTGGCTGGCAGACTTTCATACCAGTTCTATTGCTTTGCCAGAGATAAGGGCCCACCCTTAAACAAAACACCCATTAAAACAGCACCACAATTGCGACCGAGTTAAGAAGTACCAATACATTCTTTTCAGGGGCTCACCTTTTCAAAACAAACAAATCCCAACACCCAAAACAAACAAACAACCACCACCCCAAAATGCAGGAGCTGAAGGCATCTAAAACTAAGTTACAAGAGCTAAAACTTACACCTTCTTCAGATTCGTTTAACCACAGAAAAACCATTTGAGATTTCAGGGTGATTTTGTAGCCAGTTTTGACTTCTTAAAGCCATCATCAATGCATTAGAGGGTAGCAGGCAAATCTACTGTGCTGAGKTATGGAAGGGTTCTTCACTGTCCAGCAAGCCTATCTGTTCCCAATGAAAAATCTCCTAAGCAGAACGTTTGATATCACCACCTCTCACCACATTTTAATATGTAAGAAAGACAAGTATTTATGGAGGGTACTGTGGGTTTAGGGGGAAAAAAACAAACACGATTTTTTAACACCACCTTTCTGTGTACACAAATGACTGATCCACCTAATAGGTAGAATGGTCAGTGGCTGTAGCTAGATTTGTTTGCCAGAACAGTATCTCTTTCAATCTGTTAAGCTGTCCATAAAAGCCAAATTTCCAAATGAGTGTAAATATTTRTATTTAAAATCATAGTAACATGGTAATAACTTTTCTTTGTAGATCAGAAAACCTTTATCAGTTATAATAAGTTACCCAAATGCCACCTGCTCACACTACATGCCAAAAGAAGCAGCTCAGGCAGTAGGTGTGAGGGACACTTGGAGTTGGCAATACCCTTGAATTCCCACCTTTTTTTTTTTTCTTTTTCACAAAGAAGTCACAGAAGCCACCTCGAAGATATCAGTTTCATTCTGATAGATTGCTCCTTTAAGGTACTTCCAATAGAAAAGGTAGAACTTTAAAGCAATGCTTGAAATGACACATTACATATTTAAACAAAAGCAGACAACATTTCTGTGCAAATTTAGTTCTTCCAACCATCAGTTTAGAAACATTTTCAACAGAATGTTTAAGTTAACAAATCATGTTAGTTTAGAATTAACAGGTAAGTACAGCATTTAAAACTAGTCATCTAAATAGCATGTTGAGGGCAGTATACTACCTTGAGAACTTTTAAAGTATTATGAGTCAGACAGACATTTAATATAAATTTAATACCTACCAAAGTAAATTCTGTAACAAAGTGATTTTGCATTATGCATATAACACTGATCCTTAGGCAAACAAAGACACATTAAACCAATAAATCTGAGGACTGTGAGGAATGTTATAGCTGGTAGGAGTCTGCTACAAAATCCTTAAGGATGCATTGCTTTGTTCCTGTACATCTTAATTCAGGACACAGGTGAAGAGCTTTAGCAGGAGACCTTTATACCAGCCACTTTAAAGCAAGCAGACATTTAAAAGTTTTTTGGTTGCCAGAAGTTTAATCTTGCTTCACTTCACCCTTTAATTGCCTTTTCATGCGCGAATATGGGCTGATTGTGTCATCCATCACGAAGTCATATAGTACTTTTATCCAAGAGTTATATTGGGGCAGGTTGTCATARTATTCAGCTGCTATTTTCTTCACCTGAAGGAGAGATATGAGGTTTACTTACTAGTTACATTAACATCAGTTGTGACAACTTTACAACTCTCAATGTGTAACCCAGTAATGTGTAACAGCACTGGAAATTTCTTTCAGAAGTTACATCCTACAGGAAAGGCCATTCCTGCCACAATGGGAACTTTCCTTGAAGGAAAAAGCAGTTCCCTAGTTGTTTGGAGTTTTCGTGTGAAACTTTTGGAGCTGGCCAGAACAAATTGSTAACACTCCAAAGTCCCTTCACTGTGCTACTTAGAGGATGATGGAGTTCTCAAAAGCAAGTATTTGGTTGTTATTGACAGTGTGTGACTCAGTTCATGGCTGACTCATAGATACAAGTAACAGTAAAAAGGATGTTTTAAGTTCTAGGAAGAGATGTTTAACACATCTGTTTTTACATGTAGTTTCACATCTCAGTACTCAGAAGAAAAAAAAAAAAGCATTTTATTTCTGASGAACATTTTGTTTCTGAAGATAGACTTCAAAGAATGAATATAAACTGCTTCCAAAKACTCTGTTTTCATTTACACATGCTGACTAAACCACTACTCAAACTGAAAGCAGCAGGTTCACTTAGGGTCCATTACCTCTCTTTAGGGCAACCACTTAAAGCCKTAAAAACATGAACAAGTACAAAAAGGATTTTTCATAAAAATCCATAGCTTTAGTCAGAAGAATAATATTGATCTGTATAAACAGCAAACAAACCCAAGATATTTACATGCCTGGTTTGAAGCAAACCTTGTTTTCACCTGTCATCATAGCTACAGGTTAGTGCACCTAGGCAGTGTACTTTTACTCAACAGTAATAATTCTCAGCTCACCACTGCCCAGGAATCGAGTGTTCACTACTTGGGGATCTTTGGCACACAGTACAGCAGAGTCCAATCAAATTAACTACACTGTTCCAAAAGTAGGCTTTGTTTTCCTCTCAGAGCTGTGGATTATGAGTCCTGTGGCAGAACTGGGTATTTACCCCTAAAATTAAATAATTGAAAAAATCYCATGCCCTACTTATAACTAAAGTAACTGTGCAAGAAGTGAAATGCTGGTTCATGGCACAGATCCAGGTATCAAAGGTGAGTTAAAGCAACTTCTGCTGTATTWGAAAAATTAACTCTATGAATAAGAGCAATCATCCGTCTTTAAAAAAAACCAAAACCACCAAAGCCTCAACAAATTTACTACATCGTTTACCTGCCTTGCTAAAAGTGCTAGCACAGTTATTTCAGCTGCTGACGTAGCTACCACTGACAACAGAAATACCAATCAAGTTTAGACATCACCAGAGGGACGATTTTACAAGGTCTCACTAAGTGCAATAGCAAAGCTCTAAGACCAACACCACAGCTACTGTCAAATCACCACAGCTACTGTCAAATTGCAAATTAAGTTTTGGATGCAACCCTGAAGTGTGTGTTCCCAAGCTCCAATTGGGAAATACAGATAAGTGAGAACGAAGCTCCTGCCTATGAGGAGCAAAGACTAAAGTGAGAGAAACTTCGYCTCTGCTACTCATGTAGGCATGGCAGGTCTAAGTCCTGGCTTAATTCTGTCAATGTACAGCTGATACTTATTTAGGGTTCAAAGACTCTCGTAAACTGAGCTGCTCCAGACTAGAAAACTTATTAAACATTTGTCAGCAGYACAACCAACACTAACAGTACCTCAAACTCTCTCTTTTCCCCCACGAAGGAATGCCCCTGATAGAAAAGACTGAAGGATAAGCATACATTACAATATCCTTAACATTTCAAAGACAGAGATAACAAATCTCTGGAGTTATCAGCAACCTCTTAACTAGTTTTTTGCATACTTACAAACAAGAATTTAGAAGACAGCTTGTAATTACARAAAGCTAAAGTTAGCTTTAGAGTTAGCAAAGCATAAGACATGTGTTCCCCCTCCCCTCTCTTTTTATGGAAGAGGCTTGAGCATCAGCATATAGCTAGCTCAGGATACCACTAATATGATAAATCATTACCTCCTTTATCACTCAGCTTATATTCAGGGGGTTTTGTTAGCGTTTAATCTCCCAAATTCCATTTTTCTGTCAGCGTTCTACCTTATTTTCATGTTAAAGTAGGCYTTAATTTAAGAAAAAGTAATAATCTTGGAAGGAAACTTACCAGTGGAAGACTCTTGCCAGGAATATTGGGGAAGTCATGATGTTCATTGTGATAGCCAACATTAAAAGTGAGCAAATTAAGTGGCCCATAGTAGGAATAGGTCTCATGTCCTTTTAAAAACATGTAATGTTCAGCTATGAAGTGTCCCGAAATTGGATGCAACCCAAGACCAAGTACTGAACCAGCAAGCATGTAAAAAATAGATTTGACTCCCCATAAATAATATATCACGACATCAAATGCAAGCTGAGCCAACAAATTGATTATTTCAAGTCGAGTAATGGGTTTAGGATTGATGCAGAGAGGTCTAATGGCATAGAAAAAAGGCTGAAGAACAATCCATATGAACTTCCTAAAAGGGGTGCAGAAAAACCAGCCTTCGAAGTTGGTAGGAATATCCACATCRATTCCGTCACCACCTAAATAACGATGATGATCCATGTGGTATCTCTTGAAGGATATGGAGTAGGGGAGACCAAGAGGGAGGTTGGCAAATATTCCAAACCATCGATTCCACATGGCTTTGCTGTTGCCAAAGGCACTATTGTGGGAGATCTCATGAATAGCCAGAGTCATGGAGTGGCTAATACAGCTTCCAAAAACATAAGACCAGAAGACCACCCATTTCCAATCCAAGTCTTTAACCAGATAGAATGCAGTCAACTGTGCCAGAACCATCAGCACAACTACCCAGATCAGGTTATAGTCTGGCTTCATCAATGCTTTTATCTCTGGATGTTTAGCTAGATGGGAGAGAATTAAATGAAAAAATAAGTTATTTCAAAGCTCTCCTCACAACCAACTATCCCAATTAGTTTTTTCTTCCCTTTGTCCCAATTAGGTGTTGTCTGCAAAGGTAATGTAAACGGATGACCTTTCCACTTGTGATATTTATTGCTATAATGAATCATTTGGAATCAAATAATTTTAGCACTTTTACGTTGCTCAGCAACTAGACACGTACATGGCAAGCACCAGCACCACCTCCAGCCTCCTCGGGAAGGAAATGGCTCTAAGCCGACAGCCCACCCGTAATTCAGAAGGGCTCAAGAAAGCTCAGCCCCGATTTCAGCGTCGCAYTCGACACCGTTATCTGCCACCCCCTGGACGCGGGCGCCGCGGTGACCTCTGCGCGCAGCGGCCCCAGACACCGCCTTATCGCCCGTTCCGCGGGCAGGGAGCGGCCCGGGAACCCGGGCTTCTATTCCGCCGCTCGGGATGGCAGCCCGGCCGCTCCGCGCCTCGGGGCTCGGGCTCGGCCACCGCAGGCAGCCGCCCCCCCTCCTCCTTCCCCCGCTCCTTCCCTTCCCCTCCCCCGCCAGCGCCGCCAAGGCGGCGGCTCCCGCCTCCACGTACGCGGGCCCGGCCCGACTCCAGCCGCCCCGCTGGAAGGCTCCAGGGGGCCCCGCCGCCCCCCGGACACGGACGGCCATCTTGTGGGGTGTCCGTGCGCCCCCCCCCTTCCCGCTCCGCCACACAGCTGCCGGCAAGAAGCGGAGACACGGCGGCTCCTCACCCAGGATCTCCTTGCGGCGGTCGGCGTGKGGCTGGTCTGTGTAGACCCACTCGAAATCCTCTCTAGCCACAGTATTCCCCATCGCGGCAGCGTAAAACCCGACCCGCGGCTGCCCACCCGTCCGCCCGCTGCGGGGAGCCCCCGGCACGGCTCTTTATAGCGCGGCAGAGGCGGGCCGAGGCCACGCCCCCCGCCCCGCCCTCGCCGCCCATTGGCTGCCGCCGGCTGCCGGCGCTCCCGCCGTGACGGCGCCCCCTGCCGGCGGGGTGGGCCGGCCCTGAGGGACTGAGGGGAAGGAGCCGCCCTCAGAGCGGGGCCCGCACCGCCACCGCCATCGCTCCAAAATCTGTGTGCCTGTGAGCTGCTGTCCTGCTTTGACCCCGTTCTTACACACTCTGCCTACAGGTATTTAACTACAACTGCAAACGCCTGTACCAAAGTCTGTTTTCTTCCCTTTTTGTTGTAAGATATWTTAAGAACTTCCTTGACAAACTCCTCCGTAAGCACTAACCTCCATTTAATYTGTCACTGCATGTATTTAACATAAAACTCTGACTGGGCAGTTCGATGAGAAAGATTACCCAGTGCAGAAGTTGAACTACTACTTGGAATTTCAGTTGTCCATTCATAATAATCTACATCAGTAGTTTAAAAATCTACTCAAATTAATCTAAAACGGCAGCAGTGATAAAAACAATGAAGGGTGTTATCACAGAGTAAATTATACCTTATCTCTCATTGTAGTATTAGTATCTCAAGGTTTATGATTCATCACTTTAAATTCATTGATAATAATGACTACAAAAGGCTTTATGACTAYTAGCTGCTGAAAGTCCCACATGCAACAGGGCTATCGGAAGGGAAATTCAATCCCTACTTGAAAATACTTGTAATCTAAAGTAGTGGACAAAGCATGGGATCCATAAAACGTAACACTTTTGTGAACMATTTTGTTTGCATGCATTGTAATTTGTGAATATTAGGATGGGATTTAGAAGTTMAAAATGCAGCAAGTAGGTGAGACATGGAAAAGTTTATGCTCAGCCTTTCTCTCCTTACTCACATAATCTGAACTGTGCAGACTGTGATGACTGGTGCGGCATAAGAGGCAAAGCAGATGCCTAGATTTTATCCAGCCACTGTGACCTTACAAGGTTTACTTTTTGGTCAGTGACCGTTTCACAATAAACCAGCGAGCTTTGGGGTTGCCAGTGCAGCAGCTGACTGCAGAACTGCCAGRGTCACAAGTGTTTCACTCAGCTGCACTCTAAACACTACATGTGATTTCTGCCAGTGTTCCCTTCTGGTTGTAGTTCAAATATTAGCACTGCTATCCATCATGGTGCTAAAGACCTCCTCATCCATGGGAAGGATCCTGCCAAAAGAAGGAGTGTGTCAGTTGGTGATAGGAGCACTGGAGGAGTGACAGTGTAGCAGGAGCACAGTACACAGAGGCCAATTTACAGCACTGCAGACATACATAGGTTTGTAAATGGTCACAAGTTTCAGTAGGACAATTAAACTCAAGATCCCAGGTTTATAAACTAAACCTTCCAGAGCATTTAAACAAGGTTTAAACAACTAAAAAATATATTTAACAGGAAAGCTTTGGACAATTTATTTGCTCGAGTGTACTGGAGAGCAAACCATCTTTCCTATTTAATCAGAGTCTTTCTGGTTTAAGCAGTCTGTGTAACAAATMCAGATGTATTAGGTCTTCAGCAAGCCAAGAGTTTTGTATCCAGTATCTTCCTTTCCAAAGACAGCAAGATCCAGTACCTAGTGTGTCTTTGACTGGCACAGAGCTAGAACAAAAGTCCTGGAATGTTCAGTTACATGTAAAGCAAAGCCTGCAGTGCATCCCTGTCTAATGGGGAAGATGAGATTCAGGATGCAACTGAATAAGAGGAGTTCACAACTAGCAGACATATTGCTGTAAAATAGTCCAAACTGAATTTACTTATTAATGAATTAACAATCTATCACTAGTTTGCTAGCTACCCTCTTAAAACCATCAAGAACACCAAGAAATTGGGCAATCCTCTCCTGTGTTGAGACACATTCAACTACATCCTACATCATCCTATTTTCAAGAGGCTCTTGGTGTTGAAAATTCCTTTGGCAATCTTACTGCTCCMCCCAGTACACTGTTAGAAAATCTGAGTAAGGGCAACCAGGTTTCTGTTCAATTCCGTCTTACCTTTTACATTAAGAAATTCCACACAGGCACCCTTTGTAGCATTARTGAATTCAATGATTAATGTGCAGTGCTGAGTATCAGGAGAARAGGAAGTTACATTTGTTTCCATCTGTTCTTTAATCTGTGAAATTTATCTTGTTAAGCAGGTATTTATCTTTCTTCCTTCAGCATTTTCACCTATTTCATCCATTAGCCCAGGTTTGGAGGRTAGTTACCTAGAAGCTGTTCAATTTGGGAAGCAAAACCTGGTTGCAAACAGCTTTCCCTCAAAAAAAGTACTACTACGGTATCTTTTGATCTAATTTTCACCATGTTCATTAGGTATAAAATTTGTAAAAAAAACCCTCAACCTTAATATGAAACAAAAAGCAGTTTCCAAACAAGCTATTTTTAGAAAAGCAGTAAAGGTGGCCTCAGTAGTTTAAAACTATTTAAAGAAACTAAATATAAGACACTTAAAATTGCTTTCTGTCAGCAGACCTTTCTTAGTTTCAGCCCTTGACACAAGTACTAGAACTGAACAGTGGCTGCAAATAAATAAATTTTTCATRTAAGTTTGTAAACATCTCAGTCTCACTAAGGCTCTCCCTTGAACAATCACTAATCACTACAAACACTACTTCTCGAGGCTGATACACCAACTCACATAAATGTGCACAGACATTTAGAGTGGAAAGAYGTTTAGTTTTACTTCAAGTGATTCATCAGCTTGTTCATATATTGCAAAATGAGTATTTTTTATTTAACAAGGGACAATACGGTGTCAGAAATTAAGGTTCCAGCTATTTTGTCCAAATGATTACTTCATTCTGTTTTCTCCATGTATGTATTTCTCTGGTGTATATTCCAGCTTGATGCCATCTGACGTCTCCTTCCCTGGGATGTGAAATAGAAAACACCAGTGTACCTTTGTTGGGGAATTTCTCAGAGCTGCCTTGTAACCATCCCTTCTACCCCTTCAGTTTCATGGGCCTCATTCCATTTTACTGTTAGCACATGGAGGATCAGGATGCACCTGCAATCCTGGAACATGTGATCATTCCTTGAGCTGAAGGTTCCAAGTTGGCACTGTTGCAGAGAACACTTCCCATAACAATAGGCTGTTGTTCTCCAGCTCAGTTTACGCACAGCCAGAGATTCCCCAACAGAGAAATGCTACTTTTGAGTAACCTGAAACTATTTGTATACTGGGAAGGGGAAAATTGTTTGCATATTCCAGAAATAATAAAGAAACTAAAGTGAAAAATATTCAGAGATGTATGAATAAACCTTTTCAGTAAATACAATTCACAGGTTTATACTTGTTTGCAAGTATTYAGCTGTAAGTAGCTGGAAATTACTTCATTACAGGAATTTTTTATCACAAATAACCATTAAATGAATTTGTATCACACAGTAATTCTAGCTATCAAGCTGAGCCTTTGACTCAAAATTGTTTTTTTAAAGTACTTTTAATCTGAATAGCAGGAATCTATCTCCAAGATAGATGTAGCTGTAAAAAACATTCAGAGCTGCAGAAAACCAGTACAAGCAAATGCTCCTTTAACAGTTTAATTTTCTTTCAGATAGCCTTTCATCATTTCCTTGATGCTTAAGAAAATGCCCTTTTTTGGAAAAGACTTGAACTACTCAAGAAGTTTATTTGAAAACTAAATGTCTGTCAAGTATGAAGCATTTTCAGTATTACTTCTGGTATGAATTACTATGTTTTAGAAATAAAAATTGTAGCTGAAGTTTCAGGGAAAATGTCAGTTTTCCACAATTATAATAGTATCTGACCAGACAGTTTCTGATTTGGTGTTTTAAATACAGCCACTAGGTTATACTGACAGCCATACAAAATGAACTTGCACTTTACCCCACAGTAGTAATATCAAGATTGTGAATTGCTACAAATGCAGCATTTGCATTTTCAGTGCCATACCAAAGTTGAATTCAGAACCACCTAAAGACAAAGCAGCAGCTGATTAAAAAAAGAAAACATAAGTCAAATGATAAAGCTACATAGTTTAGTACATTAAAACAAAACCAAGGACAACGGTATTTGTATAAGATTCCAAAAATATACAGATGGGGGTGGGAATAATCACTGTACAAAACTCTGAGGTGGTTAAAGTGACCAGAGAGACTGAACAGTGCAAGACATGCTTTTCCAGTTACAAGCTTAAAACAGAAGTGCAAAAGAAATTAAAGCTTTGTCTGAAGTGATTTACCTTTTAGGATAAGAAAAGCTTAGAATATTGTCATCAGTGTTACAGAGAAACTTCTACCCCAACCCCGACACAGACACACAAAATAGTTTAAGTTTTTTCCATAATACAGCATTTCACTCAAACGATGTCTCCAGAGCTTGGTGACTTCAGGGACCATTTGAAGGTGTTCGATGTTGGCCTATGAYGCAAGTGATGCACAGGCAGCCTCTCCATTCTCCAGCTTTGGCAAACAATAAATCCCTGCCTTCCATGCTGGGCAAGTGGCAGACACCCAGCCCAGGTTCAAACGCTCCTGCCACTCGCCTCCCAAGACCACCTTGCTGTAAGGAAGCAGTTGTGCTGAAAACAGAGGCTAAGGTAAGGCTGAGGAACAAAGTAATTACTTGACACATCGCTGTGTTCTCTCCCAGAGTTTGGAAYAGTTTCAGGCAAGTGCTTTTGGCAGGCTGACTAAGCTGTACATGCATCTATCCATGCAAATGTAGAATATGGCTCCCAAGACCTAGAACCAGGGTGTGTGCATGTGAAGACTGGATAGAAGGCCCTTCCTTTTAAGTTTACAAAAATATATAGCCAATACTGTAGATTAAGAAGTCAGTTTTACTCATTACAGAGAACCCCAAAAAGTATTAACTACTTTTCAGACATTCCAGACAAGGTCACTTGTAACAAAAAAGGTCAAGTTCTCAAAAACAAGGTTTTAAAAGTGGATCTTTCCTTCAAGTGAACA